CCTCTTCTTCTTCCTCCTCCCTTTTCTCCCCCCGCCCTTAAAATTAGAAAAGATGTCTGTTTTTTCCCCAGTCCCATCTCTTCTGCCAGTTTTTTTTTTTCATTGAGTTTATTGGTACTTTTTAGGTATACAGTACAGTTACATTCATCTTTGGGATCTTGTACCTTTACATGACAGGTCTTGGTTCTCATTTTTTCTCCATACCCCTGCCTTCCCTTCACCCCCTCCACCCTCCTCTATTTACAAAAACTTTGTTTCCATTATTTTGTTTTCTCATATTTTTTCTTTTCCCTTATTTCCTTTCCCCTACCCTTCCTACTTCCCCTACACCTTTAGCCCTTTTCTTCCTATTTCACATTGTCAATTATACCTTTTGGATTTTATTTACACTTTTAGTTTTTCACACCAGAGAAACTATTTGGAATTTACACATGTGTGTGCTATTTATTTCACTTAAGAGTATGGCCTCAATATGCATCCATTTTCCTATGAATTCTTCTGCCAGTTTTATTTTACCTCTGAACACAGTCAAGTGCTATGTGTTATGAATGAAATAAACACTTATGAGATTCAGAATGTTTATGTGTTCTTTGTTATTCTTCAGCACCTTCTTTTGGACCCTTGGTTGCCCACTGGACAAACACTTGAAATCTGCAAGTCATCTTCAGATCGTAGCAGGACCATCAGGCCTTTCCTTTGTGTGGGGAGGAGATAGCCCATTTGCTGTGGAGATGAATGGGGAACAGCAGCTTGATGCAGGTATTGGTTTTACTGAGCATAATTTAGTCTGCAGAGTATATAATTGTATTGCTTTTACCTATGTTATATTGTCTGGCCCTCTACCACCAAACTAGAAGTTCTTTGAACTCATACATTGTTTTTCATTGCTTTCTATATCTGTCAGAGAACCTGACCCTGAGGACTACTACTAATATTTGTTGGAAAATTAGGTAATTTTTACAGACTTGTTTTTTAAGCAGTATTTTTATTTTGGTAGTTACTTCTAATTATTTTGAAACAGTTACCAGTTCAGAGGAAATTGTAGAGGCAATACTTACAGATCTTGTGTTCCCTTCACTCAGTTTCTCCCATTAATTCATTTCGTATAGTTATATAAAATCTAGGAAATGATATGGGTATAAAGTCTTTGCAAGTCTGTGTCATTTTACCACATGTAGGTTCCTGTAATTACCACCTTAGTCATGATACAGAATTGTTTCATCACTATGAAGAGCTCTCACCCCTCCTTTCCCTACTTCTTCCTACTTCCAGGAAACTATTCATCTGCTTTCTAGCTTTATAATTGTGTTATTTAAAGAATGCTACACAAATAGACTCAGTATATGACCTTTTACAATTGGTTTTTCTCTCTCAAAATAATAGCCTTGAGATCTGTTAAGGTTCTTGGCTATGTTGATATTATTTTTTATTTCTGGGTAGTATTCCATGGAGTATTACAGTTTGATTTAACTATTCAATCTATTATACATTTTGTTTTTTTCCAGTTTTGGGCTATTACAAATACTTCCCTGTTAATTATTAATTACTAGATGATTTCATTTGGGGGCTTTATTCTGAAGAGCATAATATTTCATTTTGGGGGGTTTATTCTGAGGAGCACAATTTTTAGATTGTAGCTTTAGTGCAGAACTGTCAGACTATTTTCCAAAGTAGCGGTACTAATTATCACCAGCAATGTCAGAGACATAGTTTCTCTGCATTCTTATCATTGTTTGGATAATCATTTTTTTTTTTAGTATATGGGCTGCTGAAGCAAGCACAGTCATTATTTTTATTAGAGCCATTCTGATAGTTATGTAGTGACCATTCACCATGGTCTTGATTCTCATGTCCTTAGTGGCCAATGATATTGAATATCTTTACACATGCATGCTTGGTATTGCTACATCATCTTTGATAGAATATCTCTTCATGTCTTTAGCTCATTATTAATTGGTTTGTTTTACTGTTGAGGTTTTGTTTTTAAAAAACACAACCTTATTGAAGTGTAAGTTTTTGGAGATATAATTCACATTCCATAAATCACCCTTTAGGAGTTGATAACTGTGACAGGATTTTTGTTTTTGCAATACTGGATGTTGAACCCGGAATTCCACATATGCTAAGAGATCTAATTTCAGAACATTTTTTAAAAGTCCCCCAAGAAACCATTAGCTGTTGTTTCCTGTTCCATTGATGCTCTGGAAATCAGTCTACTTGCTATCTCTATGGATTTACCTATTTCTGATTTCTTTTGATTACTGTTTTATTTTGTGTGTTCTTCATCCTTTTACTTTCAAACTACTGGTATTATATTTGAATGTTTCTTTATTTTATTGGTACATTTTAGATATACATAATGATAATATTCATCACAGGGAATTTATACCTGTTCATGATATATCTTGCTTCTTTTTTTCACATTCCCCTCCCCTCCCTTCAACCCTTCTCCCTTCCTTAAATAAAAAAGCTTTGTTTCCATTTTTTTCTTCTATTCTCTTCCACCCCTTCCCATTTGAACATTTTCTTCCCATTTCCCAATATTATATGTTTTGGTCCTTATTTACATTTTGTTTCACGTGTCAGAGAAACACTGCAGTATTTAGACACGTGTCCTATTTATTTCACTTGAGTATGATCTCAGGGTGCATCTATTTAGCTATAAATGTCTGAAGCTTGTCCTTCTTTATGGCAGAATATTCCATTGTGTTTTTTAAAAAAAGTCTTCTATATCCATTCATCAGTTGATGGGCTTTTGTTTTTGTTTTCTTTTGTTTGAGACAGGGTCTCACTATGTAGTTGAGACTGACCTGGAACTCACTATGTAGCCCAGGCTGGTCTCGAACTCACAGTGATCCTCCTTCCTCAGCCTCCTGAGTGCTGGGATAACAGGCGTGCACCACCACGCCCGGCAGTTTCTGTACATTCTTACCAAACTTGTTTTCTGTTTTTCTGAAATAGCCCTCCTAATGTGTGTGAGATGCTGTTTCATTGTGGTTCTGAGGTGCATTAGTAATATTGGGCTTCTCTTCATGTGTTTCTTTTTTTTTTTTTTTTTTTTTTTTTTTTTTTTTTTACATACTTGGTTCTTTGAACTAAATCCCTGGCCCCCATGTGTTTTTTCCATTTTAAGTCTGATATTTCCTTTTTGGTACTGGGGATCGAACTTGGGTCCTTGTGCTTGCAAGGCAGGCAACAGAACCACTGAGTTAAATCCCCGGCCCCTGTTTTTTCCATTTTAAAAAGAAGTAAAACAATACTCTTTGTATTTCCTTCTACTCTTGTTATCCTTTTCCCCTCAAAAAATAACATTGGTAAAGTTCACATATATTCTTCCCATCCTTGTTTTTTTACTCTTATTAATATGCACATATTCATAAACATTATAGTGCAGTTTTATTTTGAGGCCTAAATTGTTTCTATCTGTGTTTTTCATTCTACACTTACCTTTTCTAATTGATGCTTTTTGATATTTGTGTTAATACTAGCTTTGTTTCAACTACTATATATGTAATAGTGTTCCACTGTAGCATTGCAACAATTCATCTTTGCGCCTACTGATTGCTTCTAGTCTGTTACTATTATAGATAGATATTATAGATGTGGTGGTGAATATACAGTACTTATATTTGCCTTCTTGTGTTCATGGGAAGCATGGATCCCCTAGAGTATACCCAACTATTTATTGAGAACTTGCTCTGTTCCAAGCATGATTCTATGAGAATATATGAAGGTGTGATTGAAAAGTATAGTGAATGTTTAATTTTAAAAAATGTATTATTGTAAAGGACACATTGCCATTAATCCTCTCAAAATACTCCCCATGCTTTAAACACACTTATCCCATTATTCATGCCACTTTCTGAAGCAGTTCTGCAAATCTGGTGAGTGTCTTTAGTTGCACTGTTGTGGCTACCTCCGTGTGCTGAACAACTCAAAATGTTTACTTTGCATGATCATTTTGATTTTGAGGAAAAGTCAGAAGTCACACAGAGCCATATCTTGTGGATGAGGACATACCATAATGTTTTTACAAGCATATTTTTATCACACCTCTTAAAGACACTCATAAAGGAAGACTTCCATTATATAACAGATATTTTGAGTCCAGGTGATAGATACAGGAGTAATTAAAGCAAAATTTCTGTTTTCATGGAGTTTATGGTCTTGTAAGGAATGTAAAAAGATATATAGGTGCATGGTCAACTAAGAATAAGTGCCTTGAAGAAAAGGAAGTAGAGCCTTTCTGAAGACACATCGTTTAAGCAGAGACTTGAATGAAATGAAGGTGTGATCCCCAGAGGGAGTTAAGTCTTTGGACTGAGAGAAAAGCAAGCAGAGGCTTCACAGAAAGAGAATGATTAAAGAGTGGCAAGGAGCTCTACCACCCGGAGTCAGCAAGACTGGAGATGGGAATAAAGTGGCAGAATAGGTGGCTAGGTTCAGATCATGTAGGCCTTTTTCAGGGCCCCAAAGATTTTAGATCTCATTTAAATATGATTGAAAGGTGAAAGTTATTGTGACTACACCTTATAATAGAGATTGCAGTACACAGGATAAGAAATAGTTAGATTGGGAATGTTTTAAAGATTGTCACTACAGAACGTTTTTATGGATTTGATTTAAAGTGTGAAAGAAATGGAGGGAAAGCAAGAATAATAACTTCATATTTTTTGGATTGAGCTCAAATATTGATTAGGATACCCAATTGAGGAATACTCAGCATTAGATTGAAAATTTAAGTTTGAAATACCTGTTAAATATACTAAATATTTGACATTGGATACTAAATTGCAGTCCAAAGTTACTGTAACAGTTGTATCCATTTGAGAATACTTGAGATTCAGTGTTTACCCAGGAAGACAGCATGCCAAACTACTTCTGCATTGATACCAGTGCACTAAGGGAACCTGCCATTAAAACAGCAAAAAACTACTTAACTCTTTTGTGTAAAATCAACATCTTGTCCTGAAGTAAATTCTGTAAGTTAGGTTACTAATTTTATGTTTTTTTTAATTGAGATCATTTTTATTTTGTTTTGCTTTGTTTTTAATTCCAGATGCTGGATCTGGTGTGGAAGAAGTGGAACTAAGCTGGGAAGATTATCTAGAAGAGACAGGGTCCATGGCGGTTCCCTATGGGTCATTTAAACATGTAAGAAATAACTATTTGCTTGCTGATTATATCCTTTTCCTTTTAATCCATGTGTGATTATTAAAGAATTTAGTTATTTTAAGTTGAGGTATTTGAAAAAAATTTACATGCTCTTTCCTTTTCCTTATTCCTGCTACACTAAAAAAACTTGACATTCTTTTTTTGGTTTTGTTTTTGTTTTTTGAAGCAAGGTCTTGCTATGTAGCTGAAACTTGAACTCACTATGTAGCCCAGGCTGACCTCAAACTTGTGGCAAGCTTCCTGGCTCAGCCTCTCAAGTGCTGAGTTTATAGGCATGTGCCAAGAAAAGATAGATATATTCTAAGCCGGGCATGGTGGCACATGCCTGTAATCCCAGCACTTGGGAGGTTAAGGCAGGAGGATTGCTGTGAGTTCGAGATCAGCTTGGGCTACATAGTGAGTTCCAGGTCAGTCTCAACTACATAGTGAGAGCCTGTCTAAGAAAAGAAAAGAAAAGGATATATTCTAAAATCCTTTTTGGTTTTTATATATAATTTTTTCTCCTCAAGATAGTACTTATCTTTTTGACTGTTCGCAAGTATTCTTTTATTTTTTTCAAAAACCCTCTTCAGTAGCTGGGCATGGTAGCACATACCTGTAATCCTAGCACTTGGCTGAGGCAGAAGAATTGCCTCAAGTTCAAAGCCAGCCTGGGCTACATAGTGAGACCCTGTCTCAAAAAACAAACGAACAAAAACCCTTCTCACTGAAGAAAATTATAGAATTTCTTATACTTTGTTGCATTTTATGACTCTTGGTTTACTCATTGAAAGTAATTTCAGCAGTGTTAATGTTAACCCTATGGGGAGTAGAAATATGTCATATATTGGGTTATGTTAGTGGCCTTTGCAGTCTAGTTTCATGCCCTGACAGCCCAGTTTAGTGCTTTATGAAGGAACAGCATGTTTGCTTTATGTAATAACTTTAGAATGTAAGAAAATACCCCAGATGTTGTTAATCATTTACATCTGCGATGCGCATGGTAGTATACACCTGTAATCCCAGTACTCTGGGAAGCTGAGGCAGGAAGGTGCCAAGGTGAAGACCACCCTGGGTAATTTAGCTACTTAGTGAGACCTTGTTTCAAAAGTTAAAAATAATGAAGCTACACCCCATGTAGCTCAGTGAAAAGACCTTGGATTCAGTACTCAGTACAATCCTACTTATTTTTTTATTTTGAGCCAGAATCTTGCTAAATTGCCCAAGCAGGACTCAAATTTGTGAACCTCCTGCCTCTGCCTCCCAGAGTGCTAGAATTACAGGCATGTGCCACCACACCAGGTTAAACTCCCTTTTAAAACACATGAAATTAATGATTCTGAAATTACTATGTGTAGGCTGCTTGGACTACCATGATAAAATATAGGAGATTCTGTGATTTAAACAACACAAATTTATGTTTTCAAAGTTCTGCTGACTCAAAATTTGAGATCAGTGTGCATGGTCAGTTTCTGTTAAGGGCTTGCTTTTTTGCTTGTAGATAACAGCCTGCTTGCTGTGTCTTCCCGAATCATGGGATGGGTTGGGCTGGGGAGCGTGTGCATGCACACCTGTGTGAGTGTTCTCTGGTCTTTCTCCTTATGTTGGGTCAGGTCTGCACCCTGTGATCTTGTTTAACGTAACTGCATCTGTATGATCTCAGTGTTTGTGTCTGCCAAAGATTCATATGTTGAAACCCATCCTCAGCTCAAACGATAGGAAGACATGATGTGATATGAGGAGATAGATGAGGGCTTTGGGAGTGATTAGAGGCTGAGAGCTTCACCTTCATGAGTGGGATTATTGCCTGTATAAAAGAGGCCTGAGAGAGTTTGCTTATTTCACCACATGAAATGATAGCAAGAAATCACCATTTGTGAAGTACAAAGAGAGCTGACATCAAACCCTGAATCTGCTAGTGCCTTGACCTTAGACTCTTTAGCCAGTAAAATTGTGGGGGATACATTTGTTTATAAATGACTCAGTCTAGGATATTTTGTGATAGCAGCCCAAATGGATTAGGATATGTTCTATAAAGGGTCCATCTTCAAATATTGTTACAGTAGAGTTTGGGCATATAAATTTGGGGATACATTGCATTGGTCATTTTTTTTTCTCTTTTTAGTATTAATATTATTAACATGGAAAGCCTATTGGTGATTCTATGATATCTTTGAATTTTTATATTATTCCTCTTCTGATTTTTTGTTTGTTTGTTTTTTTGAGGCAGAGTCTCACTATGTAGTTGAGAATAATCTGGAACTCACATGTAGCCGACACTAATCTGGAACTCACATGTAGCCCAGGCTGGTCTCGAACTCACAGCGATCCTCCTGCCTTAGCCTTCCAAGTGCTGGGATTACAGGTGTGCATCACCATGCCCGACTTGATATGTATTTTATACTAATGTTTGGATAGAGAATAAATTTCTTTACCTAAATTCTGTTTTTTAAAAATGTCATTTTTAATTAAAGAAAAAGATTTCACCTTTTCTTCTGTGAAGGACAAAGCAAAAAGAAGAGTGAAAAAATACACAGTCTTTCATTGTTAAATTAAATGTTTGGGCCAGGGTTTTAGCTCAGTGGTTCAGCTGCCTGCCTCACAAGCACAAGGTACTGAGTTCAATCCCCAGTACCAAAAAGAAAGAATGGAAGAAATGTTTGTAAATTTGAATCATAGAGTATGGTAAAGGGCTACCATACTCTGAGATTCTGAGAAGGGAAGCCTGTAGCTAGCATATCACAGGAAAAGAACAGGTAAAACTCGGATCTACAGGTCAATGGAGATAAATGTACAGGCATCTGGCAGGGCTTTTATAGGATCCAGTTTAGATCCCAGGAAAGAGGAAAACAAGGCTGAAGAAAGAATTAGAGGTGAGTCATATTTGAAAAGAGTGAAAAAGCTTTCCTGATGGCACATTCTGATGAAGAAGCAGCATTCATTCTGAGACTAAACTCAACATGCTGTTCTAGAAGAAAACAAAATGAAACAGAATGGCTTTAAAGCTATTAAGGAATGGAATACAAACCTTATCAACCCTAAGTCCATAGGTGAGGGTCCATTGCAGCTTGGGAAGAACTGAAGAAAGAAAAATAAACCTTTGGTCCCAGGGCGGGAGTGGGAACACATGCTGAAGCATTCAGAGTCCCCAACAGTTCAGGCGTAGGATCACTGAGAAATTCCCCCTCCATGACCCGGGGACACAGACTAAGGTTCAGCTTACAACTGAGGTTGAATCTCACATTGTTTCTCTTCAGCTCTCTCTCACCACCAGGTTAGAAAGTGTTTGGTCTGTTGTAGCAGGAAAGGCAAGCCTATGAAGAGACATTCTCTGAGGGACAGTCACAAAGAGAAGACCTAAGTCTGTGGGAGGAGCAGAGGCATTGACAAAAAGAACCCTCTGGCAAATGATCCTATGCCCTAAATACTGGAAGATACTATAGGAATTTGAAGCCTATGGGGTATGTGCATAACCATAGCAACAGCAAATCCCAGACCCAGCTCCACAACTAACTAGATTAACTTAATCTTCTCCCTTGAACTAAAGGCCCAAGAAGAAAATGCCCATTTCTAGGCATACATATTATTTGTCTAAGTATCAATTGTTCTGTGATGTTTTGTTTTCAGCCAAAAATTATAGGGCACATAAAGAAGCAAGAGAAAAACAAGCCATTAATAGCCAAAACAGTCCACAGATCAGACTCATATGATCCAGATGTCGGAGCTATTGGACAGGAAATTTTAAGTAACAGTGATTAATATGTTAAAGGCCCTAGCACAATAGAGAATGTGAACAAACAGAAATATGAAATGGAAATAATAGAAATGCAAAACATAATTAACAGCTGATGAATACCTTTGACAGGCTCATCAGTAGACTTGACAACTGAGGAAAAGACCGTAAGACTTGAAGACAGGTCAGTAGAAACTACCCAGATTGAAACACAAAGAGAAAAGAGAGGGGAGGGAAAAAAAAAAAAGTCAGAACACCCAACAGCTATGGGATGATATTAAGTGGTTTAATGTATTTGTAACTGGAACCTTGGAGGAAGGAGTGAAGAAGACTTACTTAGAGAAATAATGACAGGGTTTTTTTGGTTTTTTTTTCTTTTTTCTTTCTCGGTACTGGGGATTGAATTCAGGACCTTGTACTTGTGAGGCAGACGTGGCAGCACTGAGCTAAATCCCCGGACCCAATAATGACAGTTTTTATAGAAAAGAAAGGTAACACACCGTAGATCTGAGAAGCTCAGGGAATGTCAATCAGAAAAAAATAACTAAACAGAACCAACCCACACACATACCAAACTATGAAACCAAAGAGAGAAAATCTTGAAGACCATCTGAAGGATAAGACATACTGCCCATAGAAGAGCAAAGAATGATAGCAAAATCTTTTCAAAAACTGTAACCTAAAAGATAATAGAGTAAGTAGATGTTGAAAGGTAAAACAAAACAAAACAAAAAAACACCTGTCAACCTAGAATTCTATATCCAGCAAAAATTCCATTCAAAAGTGAAGGAGAAATACTTTTTTTCTAAGTATACAAAAATTAAGGGAAATCATTACCAGACCCATACTATAAAAAAACAATTTCCTTTAACAGGGGAATTCGATGTAAGATAGAAACCTGAATCTATACAAAGAGATTTAAAAAATGATGGGAAAGGGCATACATGTAAGATATATAAAGTTTATTTTTTCTTAAATTCAGTATCTGAAAGAGATAATTTTGTAGCAGAAATAGTAGAAATGTATCATACATTTTTATAATGCATATAACTATAATAGCACAAACAGTGGAGTGAGGATTTGGGAGTATATTGTTGTTAAGATCTTTATATGATATGTGAAGTGGTAAAATGTTATTTGTAAGTAGACTATATAGTTAGTTAAACATTGAAAACCTTTCAACTGCTACATCAAAAATTATTTTATTACAATATACATAAAATTTACCATTTGTCATTTTTTAGTTCAGTAGCAGTAAATACATTCACAATGTTGTATAACTATTTGCAGAAGTTTTGTAATCATCTCAAATAGAAGCTTAAGCTGAGTGTGTTAACGCACATCTGTAATCCCAGCCCTCAAGAGGCTGAGGCAGGAGGATTGCCTCAAGTTCTGAGCTACATAGTGAGTTCTGGGCCAGCCAGAACTACAGAGTAAGACCCTGTCTCAAAAACAAAAACCAATCAACCAATCAACCACACAAAAAACAAGCTCAGTACCATTAAACAGTAATTTCCCACTCCAATTTTTGTTTTTGTTTGTTTGTTTTGGTACCAGGGATCGAACTCAGGTCCTTGTGCTTGTGAGGCAGGTGCGGGAACCACTGAGCTAAATCCCCGGCCATCCACTCCCTGATTTTTGTGGTCCCTGGTAACATCTATTTTATGTTCTGTGTACTTCACATAGTAGAATCATGTGTTTCATTCTTTGTTCTATTTTATTTCATTTAGTATGGTACTCTTAGCACATCAGTATACTTCTATAAAAATCATTAGTAGTTATTCTTGAGTTCACAATGTACATTTATGATTAATCTAAGTTTTTTTTTAAGTAGCACTATTTCATAGTATAGGTAATACAAATTCCTTATACCAATTTATTTTCAATTCCTTCCACATGTCTTTTATAACATTGCTGTCATTCATATGCTACAATATTTATAAGTTATAATAAAAATACTTTGTCGCTATTATGATTTTTTTGTTTTGTTTTTTTTGGTACCAGGGATCGAACTCGGGTCCTTGTGCTTGCAAGGTAGGCAGCGGAACCACTGAGCTAAACCCCGGCCCTGCTATTATGATTTTGAACAAACTTTAATCTTTGAGATCAATTAAGAATACATGCAAAAAATATTTTGTTATACCTTGTTTTATTCCTTCTTTAATGCTCTTCCTTTTATTTAGGTCTGAGTATAATTTTCCTTTTTTTTTTTAACAAAGAATTCCTTTTAATATTTCTTGCAAGGTAAATGTCCCAGTGACAAAAATCCCTCAATTTTAGCTGAGCATGGTGGTACATGACTGTAATCCCAGCTAAATGGGAGGCAGAGACAAGAGAATTGCAAGTTTAAGGCCAGCTTGGGCAATTTAGGAAAACCCTGTCTCAAAAAGTAAAAAGGGTGAGGATGTTGTTTAATCTGATGCCTTGGGTTCAATCCTTAGTAACTCCCTTTCCAAATAAAAAAAAGGAAGGTAAATGGTAGGGTATTGTTGTTGTTTTCTGTGTGTGTGCATGTGTGTATATTTGCAAGTGTTCACGTGTGTGCTGGGGATTGAACTCTGGATCTTGCATGCCTCAGCCTCCCAAGTACCTGGGATTATAAGTGGGCACCACTGTGCCCATCCTATGGTTGATATTAATTCAACTATGTCAATAATCACTTTGAAGATTAAGAGTGCATCAATTGACAGAGATTGTTAGAATGGATCATGAAACAAGACAGAGCTATATAAAAGTAAATATGCCTTCTAATGGCAGTCAGAAGGAAGTGGGAATACATGTTAATTTCAGACAGAGCATTTATCAAGAATTTTAAAAAAGTTAGGATATTACATAATGATGAAGGGGTCGATTCTGTAAGACATAACAGTCAACATGTTTGTACTTAACAACAGAGATTAAAAAATTCGTAAAAGTACAAGGAGAGACAGATGAATCTGATTTTATGGTTGGAAGATTCAGCACCTTTCTATCAGAAGTAGACAGATTCTCAGGCAGAAAAATCAGAACACAGTTGAGCTCAGCAATACTGTCAGTCAACTGGATATAACTACCAGCTACAGAATACCTCATCCAGTCACCTCAGACTCACATGAAACATTCCCCAAGGCCACATTCTGGGCCATAAAACACACTGTAGCAAATTTACAAGATTAGAAGTCATACAGTATCTGCTCTCAGACAACAGTGGAATTAAACTAGAAATCCATAACAAAAAGATAGGTTAAAAATCTCCATACACATGGAGGTTAAACAGCAAAATTCTAAACACATGGGTCATGGAAGAAAACTCAAAAGAAATTTAGAATTATGTTGAACTAAATGAAAACCCAAAACATCAAATGTCTAAGAATAACTGTAACAAAAATGTGTAAGAAAACTCCAAATCATTATCAATTCTAAGTTAAAGATCTATATAACTGAAAGGAGGGTTATACTTTGTTCAAGTAATGAGTCATTCCTGTAAATATGTCAGTTTTTTAACTATCGTATACCCAAAATGTACCAATAAACTTAATGGAAAAAAAAATGTCAGTTCTCCACAAATAAGTCTGTAGATTTACTACAACCTAACTCACACTAACACCTCCCCCCATTTTAGGTAGTAATAGGTAAGCTGATCCTGCTGTTTATTTGGATAAAGGTCCACAAATAGCCAGACACATTTAAAGAATAAACAAAACATAAAGACTAGCTATAGTAGATATCAAACTTAAGACACAGGAGTTCTCCTCTAAGAAAATACAAATCAGAAATAGAAACACTTGATTTGTATCAAAAGTGTGTGTTTTTTGTTTTTGTTTTTGTGTTTTTGTGGTACCAGAGGTTGAATTCAGGACCTTGCATTTACAAGGCAGGCACAATGCCACTGAGCTAAATCCCCAGCTCAAAAGTGGTTAGGAAAGGTACTGATTTTATTGTGTATGTATATTGAAACAAAACACAGCCCCACTTAACTCCATGTACAGATTAATTCTAGATGGATATCAGTTTTAAATACCAAAAGCTCTAGGAAATATTATAATATTAATATGTCATCATTATGGCTTTTAGGAGTAGGGAAAGATTTGTTTAAAAATATAGAAAAGGCAGTGACTTATTAAAGGAAAAATATTGATGTTAGACTACATTAAAAGCTTCTGTTCATCAAAAGGCATCATCATCATCATGGTGAAAATGAGAAGATACTTGGAACACAAATAACCTTCATAGAACTGGTTTCCAAAATATAAACTGAATGAAAAAAGATTGGCCAAGTAACTTAGGCATTTCCGAAAAGAAGAAATCAAAGTGGCTTATACATACAAAAGGTAGTTTCAGAATTGCTGTTTCATATCTCTGTCACAATATAATATTTTATCTGAGCTAGAATAGTTTTGAAAGAGAAAAGGGAAACATTTCAAGAATAACTGGTTGAAACAGACCATTTGGGGGACACGTGAAGTATAGCTTTTTCCTACACAGAGCTCGTATTATACTAGTTTACTGTCATTATAGGTTATATTTGACCTTTCCCTGTTTTAGTTTCGTAAATTTTCTGATGAGTTACCTAGAAATTACTCTTGAACACAAAGTTGAAAGCTGTTAAAATAGGGAATATTTAGCAATGTATATGCTTAATAGAAAGCATTTCCTGTAATCATAATAGACTGGTTTGGTGAAAATATTGATTTCCTTCATTTGTAAGATAAGGATCATTGTTATTTCTGTTGTTTGTTTGGATCAATCCTATGCATTAAAATTGGAATTTCTCAGATTTTTCTTAAGAAGGTTTTATTGCATTTAGTGCTTTAGGATTTTAAGTCTTAAAAGAATGTTGAGCCAGGCATTTCAGCACATGCCTATAATGTCAGCCACTTGGGAGGCATAGAGCATAGGCAGAAAGATTGCAAGTTTAAAACCAACCTGGGTAATTAAGACCTTGTCTCAAAATAAGACAGACTCAAGTTGGGCATGGTGGTGCACACCTATAATCCCAGCACTTGGGAGGCTGAGGCAGGAGGATCGCTGCGAGTTTGAGACCAGCCTGGGCTACACAGTGAGTTCCAGAGCAGTCTCAACTACATAGTGAGACCCTGTCTCAAAAGAACAAAAGAAAAAGGCTCCGGATGTGTCTAGTGGTAGAGTGCTTGTATAGTTTGGCAAGGCTCTGGATTTGATCCCTAAAACTACATGTGTGCTTTCCCTCTCTCCCTCTGTTTCAGTGCTAGGCGGAGAAACACCCATGATACTTCTCTGGTGTTTAATAACACTTTCCCTGTTTAGGTGGACACACGTTTGCAAAATGGATTTGCTCCTGGGATGAAACTGGAGGTGGCTGTGAGAACAGATCCTGAAACCTTCTGGGTTGCCACCATCATTACTACCTGTGAGCAGTTGCTCCTCCTCCGCTATGATGGCTATGGGGAGGATAGGAGGGCAGACTTCTGGTGTGACATTAGAAAGGCTGATCTCTACCCCATTGGATGGTGTGAGCAGAATAAGAAGACCCTTGAAGCCCCAGAAGGTAATAAAATACTTCTGTTGAGACATGATATATTACTTTTTAAAATTTATTTTTTGGTGTTGTTTTATTTTGTTTTTGGTATTGGGGATCAAACTCCGGCCCTTCCTCTTGTGATGCAGGCAGTGGAACCACTGAGCCAAATCCCCGGCTGATATGATATTATTGTAAGAGGTTGAATTTTACTCAGCCTTGAAGTTTTCAGTCTCCAGTCATATAGGTTTACTTAACATTTTTAGATTTTTCTTTTTTTCTTTTTTCTTTTTTTGGTACCGGGGATTGAACTCTGGTCCTTGTGCTTGCAGGGCAGGCCACCGAACCGCTGAGCTAAATCCCCGGCCCCTAGATTTTTCATTTTGAATGAAAATATTTATAAGAAGTAATGCACATTTTCCTATCTTTTAAAATTATTTTCTCCATAAAGTCTCAGGTTTTTATGATGTTCAATCATAGAGAACATCAGTTGCTTCTGATCCTTTTAAGACTGTGAGGTGCTCTGAATTTAGGACATGTAAGCCTGAGTATTTTTCAGAATATTAGGCCAAATCAGTGTGCTGCTAGTGTTCTTTTTATTTTTATTGGCCTCTCTCATGCCAAGCAGTCTGGGAACTATGAACTCTTAAAATGTACCAACTAAAGCTCCATTCCAGTGAGGAGCAGTAGAATTCAAAATAAGCAGGAGAAAAACAATAAAGGCAAAAGAAAGGAAATGTTGAGAAAAAGATGCAGGAAGGGAAGAGAGATGCAGATTTAAGAAAACACCAGACTTTTTATATTTTTCTTTAACTTCTTCATTTGATCTTAGCCAAAAGGCTGAGAAGTGATTTTTCATTAACTTATTTTGAAATAATTTCAGGTTTACAAGAAAGTTGTAAGAACAGTATAGAAAATCATGGGAGTCTTTTTGCCAAGTTTCTCCAAATGTTGACATTTTATCACATTTGCTTTATCCTTTCTCCCCTGCCCACGCATGCTTTTTTAGTGAACTGTTTGAGAGTCACTTTTAGACATGATGCCCTTTTACTCATAAATCCTTTAATGTATCTCTAAACACATGGCATTCATGAATACCATAAAAATATCAAAAACAGGAGGTTACTGATGCAATTCCATTTAATCTATAGATAATTTTTACCAACTGTTCCAATAACTTTTTAGTAAGAAAATCCTGGATTATATGTTGCATTCAGTCGTCATGTCTCATAAATAAGTTTCCTTATTAATTTGGATTAGTTCCTCAGGCTTTCTTTGTCTTTCATGTCTTTGATAGTTTGAACTGTGTAGGCCAGTTTCTTAATAATACTCATTATGTTTTTGTCCCAGGAATGTTCTTTATGTCCTATTTCTGTTCCTGATTCAGTATCCAGTCTAGGATAGTATTTAGTTGTGTCATCTCTCCTTAGTTTTCTTTTCTTTTTAATTTTTAAAATTTATATTATTTTATGTTTTGGTACTGGGAATCGAACTCTGGGCCTAGCACTTGCCAGTCAGATGCTGTGCCACTGAGCTATATCTCTGGCTCCTTAGTGTTTTTACTTTTTGGGTACCAGGGATTGAACTCAGGACCTTGTATTTGTGAGGCAGGCATGGCACCCACCACTGAGCTGAATCCCCATCTCCTTAGTTTTCTTAATCTTTCTTCATCTTGACATTTTTGAAAATTATAGGCAAATAACTGTAGAATCACCTCCAGTTTGTATTTGTCTTATGTTTCCTTAGATTGAGTTTATGTACGTTTCATTAAAAATATAGAGAAATTGTGTCCTTTCATTGTATCTTCTTGGGAGATGCGTATGGTTGATTTGTCCTATTACTAATACAAACTTTCATCATTGATTAAGTTAGTATATGTCAGCTTGTTCCAGGTTGTTATCCTTTTAAATTAATGAGTATTGAGATGATCAACATATCCTATTTTTAAACTTTCATCCACTGTTTTTACCATCAATTTATAAATTTTTTTCTGAGATAGTATTATTACTCTACTAGTTACCAAATGCTGTTTTTCTAATTTTCACATTTCTTAATTGGACATGTATAGAAGAACTTGTATGAATATTTTAATACTCAATTTATTGAGACATCTGAGATAAATATGTTACTTTTGGCCTCTATAATTACCAGAGGCGATCAAAGTGGTAGCCATTAGCTTCCAGATGTTTATTAGTAAGGCAAACTGGTGCTTGGGTAACATTGGTCATTGAGAGCACTGCACCTGCATTTTCAGTTTCTTTAAGGGTCAGCAGTGTAGTGGATTTTCTGCAATATACCACATCCTCTAAGGTGCCTTATATGAGAGTAACACCATCTGTTGGAAAAAATATGACACTATTTTTCTTTTCATGAATTGTGTATACATAGTTTTGGTAAACTGTGTGTGTGTGCATGCGTGTGTGTGTATCAGTATAGACTCAATGATTCTATTTTATTCAATGCATTAGAATCTTTTACTCTCATTTATTTTGTTATGAAACTCCTAGATTTACGGAGTAGAAACTTTTTCAAATTGGCTGATGTCTTTTTGATATGTCACTTTCATTCTCTGAGCAGTATCTTACTTTTTGGCTCAAGAAGCTTTTCTGTCTCAGCTCTGAAATCAGCCATTTCCCCAAGAAAATCTGCTTTCTTTCAGTGAGGAATGGTATTTAGAGATGAAAATCTGGTGTTAGGTCCTGAGGTAGTATGGGTTTTTACCAAGCTCGAGAGGAAACCCTAGAAGCACAAAGCTGCCAGGCTTGCCATCTCATCCTAAGAGTGTAAGAAAATGCATCTCATTTCATCAACAATGGGAAAGATTTGGATTTGAATCTCATAAAAACAACTGTAACCAAAAAATGAAAGAATAAAATCCTCCCAGTCATGCATAACCACAAAAGAGATGAACTCTGTGTCAGATCAAAATATTTCAAAATAAGCTAAAAGAGTCATAATGATAAAAGCTTAAGTAAAATTTTAAAAAGTTCAAGTATGAGCAGATTGGAGAAAAGGAAGATTTGAAGAGAAAAAGTAGAACTCAGAATGGAAATAAAAAATACTAGACATAAAAATAGTTCAAATGAACACAGGAAAAAAATCACAGGTAATATCTGAAGAGAAACAGAAAAGGAAGGGAAAACATTTTGAAATAAGAAAATAAATGGGGAAAGAAAAAGGACTTACGGAAAATTACATAAACAGATTTATAATGATTTATGATACATAAAATAGAAGTCCCTGAAGAATAAAACCAAAGCAAGGAAACAACAAAATACTGTAACTGTAACTTAAACTACTGAATAAAAGAATTTGAATTATGTACTAAAGAAGCTTGTCATGTCTGGGAAAAATCAAATGAGCATAAAATTGCTAGAGAAATATTAAATACATGTGTAGCACTAGAGTTTAGGCTAAATGATGACCATATAAGAGACACTACAGTGGATAAAGGTGCTCTGGCATGAGATACAGTATCAGAAAAAATAAAGGACACTTCAGGAGAAGAACATGTGAGTAAGTACTGATATATGCCTACCCATTCCCTTTTGTAAAAAAATCTTCATTGCTGTGTAATTTAATTCATTTTTCGAATTAACTGTGAGTTAAATGATATTACCTGAAATGAGGTGCTAAAGGAGAGAACAAAAAGTGGTTACCTAAGTTCATTATTGTTTAGAGAAAAAAAGAAAATAGCCCCAAAATACTGAGACTAACAGTATTCTATAAAAGTAAGCAGTAGAAAATATAAACCTCTCTAAATACAGAAAGGTTCTAAAAGTGAAATATATGTAAGTAGAATAAATCTATTTCACACACAATTTATCTAGCAGTTAACAAAATGACAGACTGGAGGCCATCCATATTGATAAAATCAGTAAATGTTAATGAATTTACTCTTCTATTAAAGGATAAAAAATTCACATTGGTTGCAGTGACTTCAAATATGTGTGTTTTAACTTAGGATTTTACAGTGAAATCATTGATGACCTTTGAAAGATGCCAAGGAACCAGCTGTTTTAAAGGCTGGTAAATATGGGGAAAGAATGAAGAGAATTAAGCATATATTCTACTTTCTTTTTGTGAGCCCTACTTCAGGGAAATCAAATAGTTGAAGAAAAGTTTTTAGAAGTGTTTTGGGAGCCAGGGATTTAGCTCAGTGGTGCTGCCGCCTGCCTGGCAAGCACAGGGTCCTGAGTTCACACTTTGGTCCAGGGGTGGGGCGGGGGGAGTATTTTGGTTAGTAAATGGAATACTAGAATATCTCCATTTTTGGCTCCCATTAAATCTAATATCACACAAGAACAGACATCCAGACTTTATGCGCCTGTCAATGGGAGGACATTCCTTCTTTCCAAAAAATATTTAATCCAAATTTGATTAAGCTTCTGGCTCTAAATACCAATTTATAGAAAGTATGGGTGACGATGAAACTATTGGTTGCTACTGGAGGCAGCCTATGAGGACAAACTCTAAAAAACTATAGGACAAAGGCTGAATCTCTCAACAGCCTGCTGCAAGAAAGGGGCCCAGGGGTAGAAGGAGAAGGAACCTACAAATTACAAGTGATTTAGATGAGCAGTCATTTGCAATGTATAGATCTTATTTTGGATCCTGATTTGATCAAACAAATTGAAAAAAATTTATAAGACAATTGAAAAAAGTTTGAAGTGGACTAGACATTTGACGTTAAGGATTTATTAACTTTTTAAAGGTATGATATTGTTCTGGTTACATAAAAAGTTACTTTCATAAATATGTACTGGAGTATATATTATATGATACTTAGAATTGTTTTAGGTAATTTCTTGAATGAGTGGGAATAATGTGTGTGAGGTAGGTCAGGGTTTGCAGATTATCTATAAAGGGCCATATAATAAATGCTTTAGGCTTTCTGAATCTGTATGGTCTCTGGTACAACTTCCCACTTCTACTTTTGTGGTGTGAAGGCCGCACAGACAATAAATACATAAACTAGTTGGCATGGCTGTGTTCCATTTAAGCTTTATTTACAAAAGTAGATAACAGGCAAGATTAGCCCACAAGTGGTAGTTTATTAATTCCTGGTGTAGATGAAACAGACTGGCTATGAGATGACATTTGCTGAAACATGAAGGTGCATGAGGATTCATTATATGTTTTTCTGTATTTTTTATGTATGTTTGAAATTTTCCTATAAAAAAATAAAGCAGGTGCCTTGTGGCTAAAATTGCAGTAACCGGGAGTTGTTTTGTATATAGCTATTACTAAATTAATCAAAAGTCCAAAGAATTGTTTTATCTTGTCTTTTTATGCTCCCAAAGAAGTGATATGTTGAACTTTTAGATTTGAAAATGGCAAACATACCTCTAAGCCATTTCCATGTCTCAGGTTTCTTCGTGTTCTGTGGCTGGCACTATAAATAACAGTCATTTCTTCCCTCATCTAGGCATCAGAGATAAAGTGTCTGATTGGGATGCGTTTCTGCGGCAGTCCCTGATGGGAGCATGTAGTCCTCCTGTTCCACTGCTAGAGGGCGTGAGTATTACTGTATGCCAAAACCGGTGTGGAAAATTTACGAGGAATTAAAATTGGTTGCTAATTTACTACTCTGAAGCAAATAAACATTATTACTAGAGACATAGGAGTAAGTATTGTAAATTTTAAATTTAGCCTCAGAGATTGCAACTCTGGTGGCTGGTGTGCCTAAAAATCTTCTGAATTCATTCAAATCTAGTTTTCCAGATTCTTTTACACAATTGGAAAATGACACCTTTGAGAGCTCTTACTCTAGAAGGGGTGATTCTGCTTCAGGGTACGCATTTATAGTTCACAGAAGATGACTTGAGACCCCCTTTTCTTTGCTCAGAAAAGAGCAAAGACCTACCTTACTCCTAGGTATTTTCAGCAGTCCTTTAAATTAGTGTAGCTTTTGAATTTGTTAGTGGGTATCTTGATTATGTGAAAAATGTATCGGCTGTGGGCTTTCTAAATATCTTACCACTTTCTATCCTACCAATAACATTCTTTGTGGCATATGTATGTGAAATGTGATATTTGAAGGTTTCAATTTCTTTACATCCTTGCTACTGCTTGTTATCTTTTTTACTATAGCTATCCTAGCTGGTGTGATGTCTTATTTTGATCTGCATTTCCCTGTAGGCTATTGAGGTTGCACGTCATTTTAATGTGTCAATCATGAATCTTTTTTGGAGCAGTGGTTTTTTCCCCCATGGCTGTCTTTTTATTACTGAATTAAAGAATTCCTTATATATATGCTAGGTTCAAGTACTGATAGAATATTTGATTTTCAAAATGTTTTCTTCCATACTAAGTGTTGTCCTTTTTTATCATTTGAAAGGATTTTGTTATGTAGTCTAATTTTACCATATCTGTTTCTTTTGTTGCTTGTGTTTTTGGTGCCATATCTAAGTAGGCCTTGCTTAATCCAAGGTTAAAGTTATTCCAACAACACTGACTTTGTACAGATCTTATGGTATTGAAATATAACATATCCTCTCACATGAAAAATAAAATATGCAAGAAAAAATTATTCCTATACTCCTAAAAGTTTTATAATTTTAGCTTTTACATCTAATTCTATGATCTATTCACATCCTCTTTTAAATCTTTTTTTTGTGGGGGTTCCAGTGATCAAACTTAGGACCTTGTGCTTGCGAGGCAGGCGACAGAACCACTGAGCTAAATCCCTGGCCCTCCTCTTTTAAATCTTGATTGTTGAGTACTATAAGCTGTTCTTTATATTTCATAATCTGGCTCATTTCTTTATGTTTAGTCAGACAGAGCCTGGCATGTATAAAACAGTAAAATTTGAATGAGTAAGTGAAGTCGTGAATAAATGCAGTGGATAAAATATTCTTTTTTTCATTGACCATGATTCTGCTATCTTGAAACTTTTATCTGTGAATGTGTTCTTCCATTTGTTTATATGTTCTTTTGCATACTTGGATATAGAAGTTTTACAGAGCAGTTTTTACTCAGAAAGAATATGAGATTTAGTATTATGAAATAATTAAATGTTGACTTTGCAGTGATTATTTCATGTCTTTTTTTTTTTTTGGTGGTGGTACTGGGATTTAACTCAGGGCCTTGTGCTTGTGAGGCAGGAATGGTGCCCCTGAGCTAAGTCCCCAGTTCTCATGTCGAGTTTTTATTATAGTTTTAAATATATATCTAGATAGAGTCGAATTTTCTCTTTTCTTCAGTGAAATAAAAAGTTCTTACTGAATTCATTAGAACTTTGTAAAATGAGTAAAAAATCAGAAATAAGTAAAATATCAGTAAGTGGATAAATCACAGCACATTTATAATACAGAATATCATAAAACAGTTTAAAAATGAGGTTTATGTGCTGTAACAGAAAGGCACCTATAATGTAATAAATGAAGAACAAATTCAAAAAGTGTACACTGGTCCCATTTTGAAAAAATAGAGAAAGAGGCAGAGGTGGATAGTGACATGTGTAACAAAGTGTATGCCAAAGTATTTTATGTAGTTCTTTCTTAGAGGTGGGATTATAGAAGACTTTCACATTTTTAATGATGATTATATTTACTTTTATAATCAGAGACAAAGTGGTAATGATACTCTAAAAATTCTTACTAAATGAAACAAGGCTCAAGGTAGAGAGTTTTAGACTACTTTTATTGTATTATAGGTAGATTTTTTAAGATAAGCATTTTCATATCTAGAAGTAATGTAAGAGGCTTGTATGATGATTGACAATTTAATGTCACTGGCTTTTGATGGGTAAGAAATAGGAAAGTTGGTTTGAAATCATTTAGAAGTTGACTTTTTAAAAAAAGGTTAACTTCTCTTATGTAATCAATTTACTTTTTTAACCTACAGCTCCGCCATGGAAGGAATCCTTTAGATCTCATTGCTCCAGGATCCAGGCTAGAATGCCAAGCTTTTCGGGACTCTCTAAGTACTTGGATTGTTACTGTAGTAGAAAATATTGGGGGACGGCTAAAGCTGCATTATGAAGGACTTGAAAGTCCTGACAATTTCGAACATTGGTTGTATTACCTGGATCCATTTCTTCATCATGTTGGCTGGGCTGCTCAACAAGGATATGAACTTCAGCCCCCATTAGGTGAAGAATAATATATATATTTTTAACACACAGTTGTTACTCATGTCCATGAAACTAAAAAACATTCTTATTAAAGCCTTTGTTAGCTTACATAATAGAAATATTGCAACAAATTTGTATGGACATGTTAGATTAAATGCCCATTTTTCTTTCTGTATTCTTGCATTTATAATTTATCACAAATACTGATAAAACTCATAGACTTCTGCCCAAACTTGCATTGACTGCTTATCAAAACAAAGAAAAAAATTCTCTAGGTAGCATGCTGATAGATATATATAGCAAATTGGGTTCATAGCACATTGTGTTAAACTCCAATTTATGAACTATAGGGATCCTTATGATCTCACTACAGGCATTTTCACAAAGCTTAGCTGTAGCTGTGTGGGTTCTGAACAGAGCAAAGTATTAAAGTTAAGATGCAAGTTCTTCTGAGTGAAGATGAGTATAAAGGACTTGAACTTTGTCCTATTCCCAGTGGAAAGTACTTTATTTTGTTTATGTGAATGCTTTCAGAATAGTTGAAAAAAGTATATATAGGCTTTCTCATCTAAAGCATTTTGTCCTGTCTTACTGAAGCCATCAGACATATGAAAAATGAAGCTGAGTGGCAGGAGATTTTGGCCAAAGTCAAAGAGGAGGAAGAACCATTACCATCTTATTTATTTAAGGTAAAAGCAAAAACACTTGATAGATAGTACTTTTCTTCTCACAACAGGGTAAAGCAGTTTGCAAAGAGGAAAAGTGCAAAATGACCCCTGGAAGCAGGAAAGTGCCCTACCCTATAAAGGACTCGGGGGAGGGTTTAAGGCTGGAGTGATGATCACCCTGGTTTTCTTTTGAGTGCTTGTCTGGATTTTCTCTCCAGGTTCTCTTAAGGCACTTTGAATTGAATATTTTTCTCTTCTACTTTTTTTTTTCTTTCTTTCTTTTTTTTTTCAGTACTGGGATGAAACTCAGGATCTTGCACTTGCCAGGCAGGCGAAATGCCACTGAACTACATCCCTGGCCCTCTGCTCTTTAAATACATAACCCTAACTTGTTATAAAATAAATTTGAATTTTTCCTTTAGATGTCCCATGTGTCCTAAATGTAGAGAGAAAAATGTACTTTCTGTGTTGTTTTTTGTCCTGAATAGCTTTATTCAACTTAGCAGAAACTGGGCATTACAGTGGACCCTCGAGTTATAAACAGCTTGACATATGAGCAACTTGGGTTATGACCAGAATTTTAGTTTTGACTTATGACCAAAGTCTTGAGTTATGACCTGAATGCCATCTGCTTGTGCTTCCAGATGGTCTCAGATACAGATTTCACCCTTACAGAGTTCTGGAAGGAACATTCCAGCCTTTTATGTGTGGGGTTAATTGAGAAGTCCTGTGCCAATCAGTGTCTAAGGACACTGAGATCTGCTTGTGTACAGGAGAGAGACGTTGTAGAGAAGCTTGAGCCTTCAGTAGACCAATGTGAACTAGAAGTAGCCCTTGAGAACAAATTGAGTTCATAAGTCAAGGGTCCACTGTATTTGAACTAATTAGAGAACTATTCTGTTGCATGTGAGTATAAAGTTAATACAAAAATAATACATTTTTATTCCCTTTCATTGTTTTCCTTTCAGGACAAACAGGTTATTGGCATTCATACATTCTCTGTAAATATGAAATTGGAAGCTGTGGACCCATGTTCACCTTTTGAGATCTCTCCTGCTACAGTTGTTAAGGTAAAATGGAAGGAATTCTTGTAGTAAAAGTTCCCAACACATTGACTAAGTTAGAAAATTATAGTGTTTTGATCCTCATTCTCTGTTAATTCAGCTTGTTGCTGGATGTGGTGGTGCATTCCTGAATCCCAGCACTCAGGAGATTGAGGCAGGGGATTGCTTTGAGTTAGAGTCCAGGTTGGGCTACATAGTGAGCTCAAGGCCAACCTGAACTATGTAGTGAGACCCTGTCTCCAAACCACATCACTCCACACCACATCACACCTCCAACTTGGGCTCATTTTGCTTTTTGTTGTTCAATTTTCTGTGGACAGTTCTTTCTTCAGAGCTTGGTAACCATAGCCAAGCAAAGAAGACTTCGGGCCTAGGCACCAAGTAGTGGGGAGGGGGTAGTATTCTTTGGTGCAGACCTAACTGTGTTTAACAAGAGGAGGTTTAACTGGTACATGGTCACTGTGTCTGTAAATTATGAAGGCTGGGTACGTCATCACTGTCCTGCCTAGTATAGTTTATTGGGATGAGGAGATGCATGTGAAGCAGGCAATCAGTATCACAAGATCTGGCAGTAGGATGGCTACAGCCTTGTATTCCAGATTCAGATTTCATTCCTCAGAAGACTGACAAATGCCAGGAGCAACCAGAAGAGCTGAGAATATTGTCAAGGACCAATGACTCAGTTAATACACAAGGGAGAGTATTCAGTTTAGGACCACAGCAGAATCCCATTTACTGAAAGTAGGACCTGAAGTGGAGTGCAACTAGGGCCTAGTTTCTTGACTGCTAAATCATCTGATTTGTTAAGATATAAATTTTCTTGATCTTGGTAGAAGATTATTCTCTGAGCAAGGGAGAATTCTGAACTTGTAAGTGAGATCATAATACTGTATCTGGAGTCAGAAGAAATGTGTGGTTAGAGGCCAGAGGAAGTTTATTAATTTCTCTTTGGCATTGGAAACTGGGCAAGGATCTGTAGTTGACCCATCACTAAGTTTATTTTTTAAAAATTTTTTTTCAGCTTTAATTGAGTTTATTGGTACATTTTAGGGATACAGTACAGTTACATTCATCATTGCGATCTTGTACCTTTACATGACAGGTCTTGGTTCTCATTTTTTTCCCCTTACTCCTGTCCTCCCTTCACCCCCTCCTCCCCTCCCCATCTACAAACACTTTATTTCCATCTTTTCATTATCTCACATTTTTTCTTTTCCCTTTTTACCCTTCCCCTACCCATCCCACCTTCTCTACACCTTTAGCTCCTTTCTTCCCATTTCTAAATGTCAATAATCTTATCCCATCAATAAGTTTAAACTGAATTTTACTTGAAGCTCAACTATTGGGTTTGAATCCAAGTTCTGCTACTTCCTGACTGTAACCTGGCACAAGTTACTTTTCTAAAACTCATTTTCCATATCTAGAAAATGATTTCATTAGATTGTTAGGAAGATTAAAAATATATTAATATGTGGTTGGATAAAAAATGGTGAATTTGAAAAATTTGTTACAGTAAAAGATATATTTCCATTAATCCCCCTCAAAAACATTCTCCCTGCCAGGGATTTAGCTCAGTGGTTCGGTGGCCTGCCTTGCAAGCTCAAGGACCCAAGTTCAATCCCCGGTACCAAAACAAACAAACAAACAAACAAACAAAAACGTTCTCCCATAGCCTGAACACATCCTATCCTTCTTGCCAGTTTCTGAAGCAGTTCTGGAAGTTGTCTTTGATGTGTGTCTTTATCTGCCTTGATGTCCTGAGTTGATACAAAATGTTCTCCTTTCATAATCACTTTGACTTTGGGGAAGGACCAGAGGTCGCATGATGCCAAATCTCATGGATGAGAACACATTGTAATATTTTTATAAGCTTGCCTTTTCATTGTTCGGTAGTAGGCAACACCATCACCATTTTTTTCATCGTACCTCATGATATTCAGAAAGGAAATGCCAGAACTGCCTCAGAAAGTGGCAAGAATTGTGGGATAAGTGCCTCTGAAGCAAGGGGGGTTTTGAGGGAGATTGATGACAATGTGTCTTTTACTAGTTTTTAAAATTTAAATATTCACCATATATTATGACCATCATGTATTATAATTAAAGGGGTGCCTGACGTAGCTAACATTTATTGAGCATTTAGCATTATTACTACCCAGTGTGACTGCACTTTTGTGCCATGTTTGGCTGTGGTGAGAAAAAAAAACATATGAGTATGTATCTACTCATATATACATGTAACCATTTTTCTATTTCATCTGTTAATTTCATGTTCAGGTTTTTGATGAGAAGTACTTTCTGGTGGAGATGGATGACTTGCGACCAGAAGGCCATGCACGGCGATCATTTGTGTGCCATGTTAACAGTCCTGGCATCTTCCCTGTTCAGTGGAGTCTAAAGAATGGTATACACATCAGCCCACCTCCAGGTACGCATTCATGGTCTTCAGTGTTGTGCCTTTAAATGAGTTGTGTAGGGTAGCATTGCCAAGATCTTTTATCTTTCTCCTCATATCCCTAATATTTTAAGGGCCTGAGACAAGTAAAAATGAAGGTCTAGATTCCATATATTTACTATTTGAAAGTGATAAATCAAATTAAAAAACTGTTAGAGTATGTTCCATCCTCAGACTTGGACACATACATCTGTGTGATCTGAAGGCCAGACTCATACCCAGATTCTTTGCTGGCTTTGCAGTGGGTTCCGTGTTGCATCTGTTGGGCAGTCACAGGTGGGCTGAGATGTACACTGAGCAATGAGAACTGGCTTGTGAGCCTCAGCTGAGAGGGAGGTGCTCGATCACATTTACAGTCTTTTTTTGGTACTGGGGATTGAACTCAGGACCTTGTGCTTGGGAAGCAGGCGTGGTGCCACTGAGCTAAATCTCCAGTCCTGATCACATTAGAATCTGGGCCTTGTGGAAGGTGCTTGTTAGTGGGAAGTTAGGGTTAAAAGTGGGGCTCAGAGAGGCTTGCAGAAGTAACAACTCTTTGAAAACATAATCTTGACTTTTAATCAAGGCATTTAATTATTACTTGTGCATAACTGAAAAATAATTTTATTTTGAGACAGAGTCTCACTATGTAGTTCAGCCTAGAGTTGTACTTGCTGTGTAGCTCAGGCTGATTTGGAGCTCAAGGTAGTCCTCCTGCCTCATCCTCCTGAGTGCTGGGATTACAGGCGTGAGCCACCATGTCTGGTTGAAATTTTTAATATTTTTAAACTTATAGTATCAGAAAAAACTGAGATGTTTATCTGATTTTTAGTAGACTTTTGGTAAGCATGGCTTCACTTTCTAAATACTACTAAATCCTGAACAGTGGGCTGAAAGTACTCTTTTGTGTTAATAGGGATTATAAACTCAGAACCTTTGGCCTTCATTTATCCAGGAAACATTTATGGAATATCTGCTATGTCCCAGACACTGAATGTGTCACTGGGGAGATAAAAACAAGTGTAACTCTGTCCCTGAAGTGGGCAACTCAGACACAGGGAGAAACAGAACTTGCTAGGTTCTCCTCCCTCAGGGAGCAGAATTTAGGAGTGCACTGTGGCAGGGTGTGATATGGAACACCTACAAAAGAAGAACACCTCCAAATTCCTTATCCTGCTTTCCACCTTTGTGTGAAGGAGAAAAGCAGTGATTAAAGATAGAAAAATTTTGAGCATTGTTAATGGCCACATCAGTTGCCTTGTAAACAGAGAAATGGTAGATTATGTAATTGAAAATGGTATAAAATGTACTGCTAGGAAATGAGAGGGAGGTGGTGTATTTCTCAGCTGGGTGGGAAAATCACTTCAGAGGCTGTTTGGCTATAGGAGGGCATAGTCTTGAGCAGCCTGCTCTGTGCCTTCAGACAGAGCAAACAGGCCATCCAGCTCCCTGCATGGATGGTGCCGAGTCAAGGCACTAGTTTGGAAATGTTTCTGTCAATACCTCAGTAGACTGAAGTATGGATTTAAGCCTAACTTTTACTGAAATGAATTCATGATTTAGATTATAAGAGCACTGTAATTTAAACAATATTTTTCTGGTTGACACAGTCATGGTCTGTATTTATAGGGTGCAATGTGGCATTTTAGTGCACATATACAATACGTAATGATCAAATCAGAATAATTGGCATATATTTGTGATTCAAAATCCTTTCTTACTAGCTGTTTAGAAATGTTCAGCCTAATTGTTGTTAATTATAATTACCCTATGGTGCTGTGTAACAGAAGTATCCCATTTATCCTACTGCACACCTGTATACTTCAACCATCTTCTTCCCAGCCCTCAGGGCCTTGAGATTCTATATTACATAAATCTGAAAACTACTAAGAACATTGTGTTGGTAATCAGCTAAAGATGGGTTTTAAAGAAATAGCCTTATTAAAGAAAGTCTTCACTGATTTAATAGTAATATTTGTTATCTCTTTGTTGTCAGAGCATAACTCCTAATAAGACTAGATTCATTTGTACAGATCACATCCACTCATAACTGTCTGAAATTCTTTTGGTAAATGCCAGCAATTAATCATATAAAATGTTGCTCAAAATAAATATCTTGGTTGAAATTTGAAAGAATTTCATTGTATTATAGTTTTGACCAGAAGTACTCTATTTAGTAAAATTTAACTATATGAGGCCCTGGGTTCAATCTAAGTACTCGAAGGGAAAAAAAAAAAAAAAAAAAAAAAGAATTGGGTACAGTAGCATAGGCCTATAATCCCAGCACTTGAGGCTAAGGCAGGAGAATCAGAAGTTTGGGTTCTGCGTGGGCAACATAGTGAGACCCTGTCTCAAAACAAAAAGGATAAGGATGGGAATATATCTCAGGGATAGAGTCCCCCGGCTTTAATTTCTCAGCACTGAAAACAATAACGGCTATACCTTGGATTTATGCAAAGATTCCCCTCCTCTATAAAATGACCAAAGGCCTCAAATTAGCAGCATTGGAAGTTGTGGGTGGACACCTGACAGAGTGGTAGGGCTGAACAAGTACACATGGTATGAATCACTGCTCTTTGTCTCCACACAGGCTACCCAAGCCAGGACTTTGATTGGGCCGACTACCTCAAACAATGTGGTGCTGAAGCTGCCCCCCAGCGGTGCTTCCCTCAGGTGAGACCCCTCACGGCCACCAGGGCTGCAGGGACTGCTGTTCTTCCCTTGCTTTTTATGACTACTATTCTCAAGTTAATCACCTCATACAACCCAGATGACCACTTTGATGATTGTAATAAAATGGTCCAAAGAAAAATACATTTATTTCTGAAGTTAATTTGCTGATCAAGTTAGTATTGTTTTATTTTTTGTAATAACTGAAATCATGTGACAGATTTTATTTCGTAACAATGGTTTAATGCTGTAATATGAAAAAATATTGAAATATTAAATGCAAAAACTTATTAAGCTTATTGAAAAAGACTTCTATCCAAATGATACATCCATATATATATATATATATTTATTTTTTTTTTTTTTTGAGACGGGGTCTCACTATGCAGTCAGTTGTAACTGCCCTGGAATTTACTGTGTAGCCCAGGTTGGTTTTGAATTCACAGCAATCCTTCTGCCTCAGCCTCCCAAGTGCTGGGATTATAGGCGTGTGCTAACACACCCAGCTGATATATCCCTATGTTTTAAAAATCAAAATAGGGCTGGCAATGTAGCTCAGCAGTGCTGCACCTACCTGGCAAGTGTAAGGTCCTGAGTTCAACTCTGGTACCAGAGAAAAAAGATGAAAAAGCAGAATATCAATAAAAAGCTTAGCATGTATAAACACAGTCTCTGTCTTATCACTTTCCTTAGCCTCCCTTCCCACTGGTAACCACTTCCTATTCTTTTTTTTTTTTTTTTTCCTGAGACAGGGTCTCATTATGTAGTTCAGGCTGACCTTGAACTCATTATGTAGACCAGATTGGCCACAAACAGTGATCCTCCCGTCTCAGCCTCCTAAGTGCACCAACACACTTGGCTATGACTTCCTATTCTCATCACTGTAATATAGCATTTATATTTTATTATCAAAATAATATACTGCCATCTTTTGAGGCGTTAATTTTAGATACTGCTGTTGATTATATTACCGTAAATGAGCATTTAACCATTTTACCTTCCACCTCTGCCATACGTACTCACATCATCTTCCTGTTAGGATTGTATTCCATTCTTGGCTAAATTTCAGGTGAAGTTTTGCATTATTGTGAGCATTCAAACATTTACAAGTGAGCACTGCAGTATTCCAGTTGCCTCTTATTACATCAGGAAATTCCTCATTTCTAAAATTTTTCTTAGACTTCCCTTTTAAAGGCCTCCACTTTTTCTCTCTGGACAGTTTCTCTACTTGCCATGTAGTTTTAATTTTGGAACTGCCAAGGATTGCCTGCTCCTCATTTCCTATGGTTTGAGAAGCCCTGGTTTGTAGTGTATCATGTGACCTCCTGGTCTCCATTTACTTCCTTGTTTTGATGGACCCATGATCACTCATTATCTTCCTAAAGTGGCACAAAGGATGGAAATTGCTCTAGCAGAACTGTATTTGAACATGTTGACTGACTGTGTTGCTGCCAGAAAGTTAAAAGCTATTCTTAGTCTTGATCTTGTGTAAATGACCTGATTTTTCTGTGGTGGAAGGTTATAGAATCTTCTTATTATCTCTTCTCACAATAATGTACTTTGAAACTGGATAAAGAAGATGTGGTTTTTCTATAAAATGGAATACTACTCAGCCATAGAGAATGAGAAATTAGATTCATTCATAGGAAAATGGATACATATTGAGGATATACTCCTAAGTGAAATAAATAAGTCACACATGTGTAAATACTGAACAGTTTCTCTGGTGTGAATAAACTATAATAGTACATAAGATCCTAATGAGATAGCCGACACTGTGAAATAGGAAAGGCTAAAGGTGTAGGGAAAGTGGGAAGAGTAGGGGAAAGGTAATAAGGGAAAGAAAAAAAATAGAAAATGAAAAAATTGAAATAAAATGTTTGTAAATGGGGAGGAGAAGAGGGGGTGAAGGGAGGGCAGGGACAAGGGGGAAAAATGAGAACCAAGACCTGTCACGTAAAGGTACAAGATCCCAATGATGAATGTAACTGTACTGTATACCTAAAATGTACCAATAAACTCAATGAGGAAAAAAAATAATGCACTTTGATGTGGACAGTTTTTCTCTGGACATTCATGCCTTTCTGTACTAGGAAATTTTCTTGATTTACTTCTTTCATTTCCTTTCTTTTGTTTTTTCTCTTGTCTCTTTGTAGAATTTTTAAATTTTAGATATTGGTCCCTTGGATTTAACCTCTACTTTTTTTTTCTTACCTTTTTTCTCTCCTTGTTTCTGTTTCTTAGTCTTTTTGTCTTGCTTTCTGGAAGATATAATAAACTTTTACCTTTCAACCCTTATGAGATTTTAGTTTTTAAATCTACTTTTTCATTTTCCAGAAGTATTTTTCTTCTCAGAATAGTTCTTTATTTTTAATAGTATGCCAGTCTTATTTTAAGGATACATTAATTTTTCTTCTTGGAGAATGTTAATTAACATAACCACTTTTGGGTGGTTATCTTGCATAATCACTGCCTTCTCTAAGTTGCTTATTTTGTGTTTGAGTCTGTAAGTTTAATATCTTTAGATATCTAGTAATTCTTGGTCATTGTTTATATTTAGAAATGGGAGATTAAAGAAAAAACTGACTGGAAACTCTGAGCATGAGGCAGAGGCTTGTCAACCTTGAACTCTCCTGCAGGTTGGGGTCTGGCCAGCTGAGCATGTGAATTAATATTGTAAATCCAGTAATTTTTTTTTGTATGTATGTTTTTCATGAAAAACTTATATGCAATGAATATCCTTAAATGTATTATTTGATGAGTTTTAACGAATATATACAACTATGTGACCCAAACCCTTATGGAGATAGAGAACATTCTGGGCTTTGGTGGTGCATGCCAGCTACTAAGAAGGCTGAGGCAGGAGAATCACAAGTTTAAGGCCAACCTGAGAAACTTAGTGAGACCCCATCTCAAAGTAAAATTAAAATTACGGAAGCGGATTGGAATGTAGCTTAGTGCTACATCCCCTAGGTTGAATTTCCAGTATGGGAAATGGGGGGTGGTAAAACATTATTGTTACTCCTGGAAAATTCCCTTGTGTCCTTTCTCATTCATTCCTCACTACTGTCCATCCAGAAATAAACATTGTTCAGTAAGCTGATTTGATTCATTCATTTTCTAGTCAGTTTCTGAGCATGAGTTTAAGGAGAACATGAAGCTGGAGGCAGTGAACCCTCTTCTCCCTGAAGAAGTATGCATTGCCACCATTACTGCAGTCAGAGGCTCCTACCTGTGGCTTCAGCTGGAGGGTAAGTGCAGGCTCTCCTGAAAGTTTCCTGTGGCCACTCTTCCTTTGCTCTTCCTGTTTACTCCTTTAGTGTGGCTTGTTATACTTAATGGACAAGTAAGTTATCTTTTTCAGAGACTTCTACCTTGAAATGCAAGATTCTAAGCTAAAAAATTATTTTCTTGTCCTAGGCTTTCAAAGTTTTAGGAAATGAATTTGAATAACCTTTGTTATAGAGTCTTATATTTTCTTGAAGGTAAGTCAAATAGTTTATATTTTCATGTGATTACAATAAGTGAATATGAACATTAGCACGAGGCTTAGTGAAGAGATGATGTTTCTGTTGCTCCAAACCCTGGAACCAGAAAGTATGTAAAGTAGAAGTGATGTATTTTATTCATCCTAGTATTTAGTGATTGGGCATGTTCATGGAATGAAGGCCATGTAAGTACTTACTGTAGCAATTGCTGTGTGTGGCCTGGGTTACTTTTTCTTCCTGCTGCCAAATAATCATACTCTGAGAAGGCACCTACATAGTTAATCAATTTCTATTAGCAATAATGTTTCTGATTGTGTAGAATGGGCATTTAATGGAAATGTGAAGGAGAGTATTAAATGTAGAGTTTCATGCAACCTCTGCTAATTAGTTGGCCAGTCACTTTCTGATTTGAGTTTATGGTTCTACTTTCTGACTTATTCCTACAGTACCAGAACTAATGTTATTATTGAATAGAACTGTCACTTTTCCTTTGGATTTCTAATTTTTTCAAGGAATTGAATATAATTGTTAACATCTGAATAATACTACTGGTAGTGCCAGTTGTTTATTTGCTAAGAATTACCCTTATTTTCACTACCCATTTGGTTCTTACAAGTTATGCACAGGGACAGTTTACCATATGTTTATCATACATGAAAAAGTATGACTTCCATGAAAATGATACTGGGTTAAAAGAGTTATGTCTTCATTGTTGCTGCAGTAGAACATTGTTTAGAAAGTACTGCACTGTACTTTATGAAGGCTATTTAATGAGCTAAAAGTGCTTTACTTAGTTTTGTTCTGCTTTTAAATTTTAAACAGGGTCTAAGAAGCCTGTACCCGAATGTATTGTGAGTGTGGAATCTATGGATATATTTCCTTTGGGCTGGTGTGAGACCAATGGCCACCCCCTCAGCTCTCCTCGCCGGGCACGAGGTAGCTATTTGTGGGTTAGAGTGCTGATTGTTGAATGATCTCTTGTGTGGCGGCTACCAATTAGTATGAATCTGGACATTTCAGAGAAAAAATTATATTCTGCCTGCAGAGACAATTGCTTTTTGCAAAAGTATTTATTTTCTTACAGTTTCTGTGGGTCAGGGGTCTGGGTACAACTTGTGTGGTCCTCTGTTTCCAGGTGTTTCATAGATTGCAGTGAAATTATCAATCAGAACAAGATTCATCTCAAGGCTTACTTTAGGGAGAATCTGCTCCAAACTTTGCTAAAATAATTATTGGCAAGCATCTTAGTCCATTCTGGTTGCTAGCCCAAAATGTCATAAACTGAGTAATTTGTAAATAATGTGTTATTGGAGGCTGGGAGGACCAAGAGCAAGGTGTCAGTCTGGATGCATAGATGAAGCTCCACCCTGTACTGAGTATCAAACTCAGGACCTTGCACTTGCCAAGCAGGTGCAGTCCCTGAAACCTTCTTGCTATATGTCCTCACACTTTAACTTTCTAGGGCCTCTTTTAATAAGGGCACTAATTCTAATCTTGCCCTTATGATCTCATCACCTTCCAAAGACCCCACCTTCTAATACGAATACTTTGGTGATTAAGTTTCAGTATGAAATGGGGGAGTGTAGACATTCAGACCATTGCAGAAGAATTCACTTCCTTGGTCTGTTGGACCAAGGGTCTCTGCTTCTTGCTAGCTATTGGCTTGGAAGCTTCCCTTAGATCTCTGCCATGTGGATCTCTCCATGGGGCAATTCACTGCATGGCAAGTGGCTTCCATCAGAATGAGAATGAGAGGTTGAAGAAGAGAAAGCCAGTCTCTCTTTTTTTTTATACTGGAGATCGAACTTGGGTCCTTGCAGTTGCAAGGCAGGCAGCGGAACCACTGAGGTAAATCCCCAGCCCCAGAGTCTATAATCTTATATTGAAAGTGACTGCCTTCCTCCCCTCTTTTCAAAAGTTTTATTGAAATATAACTAACATACATGAATTTTTTTTTTTTGTACCAGGAATTGAATTTAGGTCTTTGTGTGTGCAAGGCAGGCAGTAGAACTACTGAGCTAAATCCCCCGGCCCACATACATGAAATTTGCTCTTTTAAAATTCTGAAATTCAGTGTATTCACAGAATTGTACCACTATCACAGTTAATTTGAAAACATTTTTTTTCATTTCATTTCTGAAAGAAACCCCATACCCTTTGGAAACACCTTCTTCCCAGGCAGTCACTAATCTACTCTCTGTCTCTGTAGATTTGATCATGCTGGACATCTCATATAATGGAAATCATACAATAGATTATGGTCTTCCATGACTGCCTTCTTTCATTTAGCATAATGTTTTTGGAATTCATCCATCTTATGATGTCTGTCAGTACTTTATATCTCTGAATAATACTATGTCACATTTTGTTTAATCATTGATGAATGAACATTCAGGCTGTTTGAATTTTTATTGTTATAAATAATGCTTCTGTGAACATTAGTAACCTGTTTTCATATAGATGTGTATTTTCATTTCTCTTGGGTATATTCTGAGAAGTGGTATTGCTGAGTCACATGGTAACTATTTAACAGCTTGAGGACCCACTAAATGCTTTTTTTTTGTTTTTTGGCACCGGGGATCAAACTCGGGTCCTTGCTCTTGCAAGGCAGGCAGCAGAACTACTGAGCTAAATCCCCAGCCCCACAAAATGCTTTTTGAAAGCAGCTGCATTGCTTACCTCCACGAGCAATGTATGAGGCTCTAGTTACTGCACATCCTTCAACACTTCTATGCTATTCTTGTTTTTAATAGTCATCCTGATGTGTACGAAACAGTGTCATATTATAGTTTTGATTTGCTTTTTTCTAATGGCAGTCTTGTTGAGCATCTTTTGCATATGTTTGTTGGTTATTAGCATATCTTCGGTGGAACTGTGTGTGCTTAAGTCTTTTGCCCATTTTTACATTATATATTTTATTGGTGCATATTAATTTTATAAAAGATTGGGTTTTGTTGCATTTTCATATATGCATAAAACATTTTGATCATATCCATCCCCCTGTTACCTCCCTTAAACTACTCTTTCCCCTCCGTAACCCCTTTCCTCTTATCCAATAGCCTCCTTTCTACTTTCTTGACATCTTTTTTTTTTTTCCTAGAGTCTACATATTAGGGAAAACATGCAGTACTTTTCTTTCTTAGTCTGGCTTATTTTGCTTAATGTGGTAACTTGTAGTTCCATTCATTTTTCCACAAATCACATAATTTTATTCTTTTCTGTGGGTGGATAATACTCCATTGTGTATATAAAACTCCCTTTAAAATCTATTCATCCATTGACCAGCACCTAAGCTACTCTATGTGTTGGCTATTGTGAATTGTGCCACAGTAAACATGAGTATGCAAGTATCTGTGTATTATGCCAACTTTAATACCTTTAGGTGTATATCAAGAAGTGGTTTATCTAGATCATATGGTAGTTCTGTTTTTAGAGGAATATCTGTACTGATTTTCTTAGCGTCTGTACTAATTTATATTCCCATCAATAGTGTATAGGGTTCCTTTCCCCATGTATCTTTGCTAGCGTTTATTAGAGTTTGTTTGTTTGATCTTGATAGTAGCCATTCTGATTAGGGCAAGATGGTATCTCAGTGTGGTTTTGATTTGCATTTCTCTAATAACTAGAGTTGTTGACGCTTTTTCATATAATTATTGACCAGTTGTGTTTCTTCTTTTGAGAAGGGTCCCGTTCATTTGTCCATTTTTGATTGTTTTTTTTTTTTTTTTTGGTGCTAAATTTTTTAGTTCATCTTATGTTCTGATTTTAATCCTCTTTTGGGAGAGTAGCTAACAAAGATTGTCTCCCATTCTATAAACTATTTCATCACCCTGTTATTTCCTGTGTGATGGTGAAGTTTCTTCCTTCCCTCTTGCCCCTTCCTTCCCCTTCCTTATCCTTCCCCCTCCCCTTTCCCCTTTCCTTTCCCTTCCCTTCCACCAGGGATTGAACTCAGGACCTTGCGCTTGTGAGACAGGTGGCAGAAGCACTGAGCTATATCCCTGGCCTGAGAAGCTTTTCAGTCTGATGGAACCCCATTTGTCAGTTCCTGCTATTTCCTGAGTTTTTGTAGTCCTGTTCAAGAACTGCCTGTGCCTATACCTTGAAGTGTTTCCCCTATGTCTTCTAGCACTTTGAAAGTTTGAATAAGTGTTTCCCCTATGTCTTCTAGCACTTTGAAAGTTTGAATATTTAGATATTTGATCCATTTTGAGTTGATTTTTTTTGTTTTTTTTTTTTTTTCTTTTTGAAACTGTGTAGTTCAGGCTGGTCTTGAACTCACTGTGTAACCCGTTCTGGCCTCAAACTTGTGGTGATCCTCCTCTCTGAGCCTCCAGAGTGCTGGGATTACAGGCGTGCACCTCCATGCCCAGCTTGAGTTGATTTTTGTACAGAATAAGAAATAGGGTTCTACATTTAATATCCAGTTTCCCCAGAACCATTTGTTAAAAAAGCTCCAACATATGTTTTGGCCTCTTTGTCACGAATCAGATGGCTTAGCTGCATGGGTTTTTGCCTAGTTTAAAACTATTTTGTCTTTTAATTACCTATAGGACTTCTTCTTTGTATAGTTTAGATACTGACTTGGAAATATTTTCTCCCATTTTGTTGGTTACCTTTTTACTCTCCTGCTGTGCACAGATATATTTCTTGTCATGCAGAAGTTTTAAATTTTGATTTAATCTAATTTAAATTATTCTTGTGTTTCTTTTTCTCTTGATATCGTATTTCAAAAAGCATTTACAAATCCAATGCCATGATGATTTTCTTGTGTATTGTTCTGTAAGAGTTTTATAGGTTTAGATCTTTGATCTATTTTGAGTTAATTTTTATATATGATGTAAAGTAAGAGTGCAGCTTCTTTCATGTAGATGTCCAGTTCCATAGCATGTTCTGCTGAGGACCACCCTTCTCTGTTGAGTGGTCTGAACCATTCAACATTCCATTCAACTGCTTTGTGAAAGCAGTTTTTCTTTTGAATATCAGTTTTTGCTTGAAAATTACTTTCAGGAATTGATTGACTCAGAGAGCTTTGAAAATACTGTTTTTGTTCCTTGTATGAAGACTCCTCTCCAGAAAGTGTGTGTCAAATATTCAGACACATAGGCACCAATTTAGCACACATGGTAGTTATACCAAGTATTAAATATGTCACCATAAGCGTGATACATATCTAACTTTTCCTTTGTCTTTTATTTTTTTTTGTATTTTCTTCCTTCTTTTACAGTCCATAAACAGAGGAAAATTGCGGTGGTTCAACCAGAAAAACAGTAAGTAATACAGTAGGTAACAGTAAGTAATATCTGTAGTTGAAATTTGGAAGTTCAAATATCTAGAAAAAGAAATAAGTATATCAGAATATGTCTTCTCTTTTGTTATTTTTTTTCCAGATGGAAGAATAATCTTTTAATTCAAATTTGATAGTTTATATACATCTTCACATAATGTATGCATTTTCTAAAATGGCTTTATATAAAAAGTGTAAAATGCAATCTCGGGATGTTTTTCCAGATACAATTTCTTTGGCTTTTAAAGCCTGAAGTCATTTGAATGAAAGAAAAGAAATAAGAGTCCCTTGCAGGTATTTGTGAAGGAAGAACAAAAATTGTAAATAAGGAAATGATTTGTTGAGGTAGAAGAAACAACTCCAGAAGGAAGGGCGCTCAGAAGAGTGTCTCTGTGCCCATTAAGAAACCCTCTGTAGCATCTTCACACGCAGCATTTAAAAAGCAAAAGTTAGTTGGTGGTTCCTTTGAATCTTAAAAATATAAAGGTTTCTGTGTGTGTAGATGTGTGGTTTCCACTGTTGAGTTTTGGATTCTCCCATTAGCCTGCCATAACAAAATATTGCAGACTGGGTGGCTCAAACCACAGAAATTTATTTTCTTATGTTCTGGAGTCTGGAAAGTCCAAGATCAAAGTGCCATCTGGTTTGGTTCCTAATCAGGTCTCTCTTCCTGCCTTGTTCATGGCTACCTTCTTGCTGAGTCCTCACATGTTAAAAGTACCTCTCTGTCCTTCCCTCCTCCCCCATTTTCTCTGCCTCCTTTCCTTCTTCCTTCCCTTTTCACCTCATTTTCCCCTCCCTCCCCTTCCTTCTTTATTTCTCCCTCTCCTCCCTCCCTCCCTCCTTCCTCTCTCCCTCTCTCTGTTCTCTTTTCTCCTCCCTCTTCTTCTAGGGCCACCAGGCCTATCAGATTATGGCCATATTGTTATGGCCTCATTTAATCCAAATTACAGTATGGTTACATTCATTTGTTAAGGCCATAGAATTCTATTCTATATACAGAAATGAGATGATGACAAAAAACTCGCCTCGGATTTTTCTTTGACTTAGTTTTGAGACCAATCCTAAGCTTTATTCAGGAGACATTCTAAAAAAAGAATTAGCCCTTCTCAGGGATTGCTACAGGCAGAGTAAGTCTCTAGGCTTTTCTTTTAAAAGATAATTTTTAAACAATTTTGAAATGAGTAGAACTATAAAAGAAGTGTTTCTGTTATGTGACTATTGAAAAAAATGAATACTTGTACTTTAAAAATCCCACAAGAAGTTGGGCATATTGTTACAGGCCAGTAATCACAGCACTCAGGAGACTGAAGCAGGAAAATCGCAAGTTCAAGGCCAGCCTGGGCTACATAGCAAGACCCTGTCTCAAAAATTAAAAAAATTAATGCCACAAGAAATTTTCTCATTTCTTACACACATATATATGATTGAAAGGAAAATTAATCTAAATAGTCCATATCACATCACTGTCTACAAATTGTCCATTGGCTCATTAGACTCTGTACATAACTTCAGAAGCAATTGCAAATTTAAAAGAATGAGTGATGAAGGACCTTCTGTTGCAGATTTTGCAACCTGTCACATTAGCTTTCTTCTTAGATTGGAAGGAAACTAACCTTCATGCTGTGCTGATATTAAGGATGATCTTACTAGTTTGACTATGTTTTCTTAACCCAGAATACCATCCTCAAGGACTCTTCATGAGGGCCTAAAGAGTCAAGAGCTGAACTCTGCAGACTCAGGTATAAGCATTTGTGATCTTACAGAAAGGAAGACCCTTAGTTTCTTCTAATGGGCTGTCTCTGACATTTGAATGTGTATTCGGAGAGGAGCTGCCTAACTATGACTTTAGAGTTATAACAATCCAAGATGTGTTTTGTTTTAGTTGTCTGTATGCTGATATTTCTACACAGTTATATAATTGTAGCTATTTTTTACTGATCATTTGTTATGTACCAAGAGCTGTAGAGGTCAATGTTACTATCACTCACTTTAGATGAAGGAACCTGAGGCTTTCCAGGGAGAGTGCTCTTTCTTAAGCTAGGTACTTAAGTGGTGGGGCTTATTTTTTTTAAATGTTTCTTATGATATACACACTTTATATATAAATTTCACAAAAAATAGAACACTAGATTTATTTGATTGTCCCAGAGGCAATGACTGATTATGAGATGAGGCTGGAGGTTCAGTTTATATCCAGGGTCTTTTTTTTTTTTTATACCAGGAACTGAACTCAGGACCTCACACTTGCCAGGCAGGCGCTGTGCCACTAAGCTAAACTCCTGACCTCCAGGGTCTTTTTAATATGACTCTTGACTAGCCCTGTGCTAGCTGTATAATGCTGAGCATCTGGGCCATGTATATTCTAGCACAGATTGGACATTCAGGTGGTATTTAGTAAATGCCTAGAGAAAAGAAACCAGGGCTCAAAGAGCTTATACAGCTTTTGAGAAAAGGATGAGAAATGGAACGCAAATGTTCAAAACTTTTTTCTCTTCTGCCCCACTGCCATTTTATTATATTGTTTCTACATAGAGGATTGGGACTGTGTTAATTCCTTTTTTTTTGAGACAGTGTCTCACTATGTAGTTGAGACTGACCTGGAACTCACTGGGTAGCCCAGGCTGGTCTCAAACTCACAGCGATCCTCCTGCCTCAGCCTCCCAAGTGCTGGGATTACAGCCGTGCGCCACCACGCTCAGCTTAATTCCTTATTTTTGAAACACTGCTGGCCTTTTTAATGTCTACTGAAACTACAGAATTAAGACATTAATATCTTCTCTATGATCTCAACTTTGGCACTTTGGTTTGGGTTTTGTCATAGGTCAGGTTCCTTGGGAAAAAGTCTGAGCCTCTGATATTTGCATGCTGGAGTTTCACTGGGAGTGCTTTTGGAAACAGCTCCTGGAAGGAATAAAAGATGCAGGAATAAAGGAAGCGGGATTACCTTGAGAGATAAACTGATGTTCAGTGCAGTTGCAACAGAAGTTTCTTTTAGTGCCAAGGAAGTCTTCAAACTGATACTGCCACAGAGAGTGTCCATAATCCTTATGTATTAGTCATCAGAAGTATACTGTAGGGCAGGGGGTGTGGTGGGGAGTAGCTCAGTGGTGCCACCGCCTGCCTCGAAAGTGCAAGGATCCGAGTTTGATCTCTGCTACCAAAAATAAAACAAAACAGAAGTACTCTGTAGCTCCCACACTACCTCACAAGGAATGGGACCTTGGGCAAGGTATCTCTCCTATTCAGGGCAGCCTCAGCTCAAGGTAAGTAAAGGATACATGTATAAGTAAGAGCTGTAAACCGCCAACATTTCTGACAGCTAGGGTCATGAGTGCCTTAATCCTTACTAGGGTTAGGGGTGGCAGATTCAGATGGAAAATTGGCTCAACAGGCTCACCACTGTGATAAAACTGTAATCTTAGAGAGAGAACATTATGAACATCAAGGTCTACCAACAGTGGACGTAGTGTACTTATTTACTTTCCTTAATGCTGGATTGAATAAGAAGTATTCATCAGAAGACTCTCTGCTTTATATCAAAATGAAGATGTTTCAGTGTTTTTGAAGTTTTAAAATTTAGTACTTCAAATTCACTGTGAGAGGATTTTAAAAAAAAAGATTAAGCTCAGTGCTCATTAGAAAAATAGTTGAGAGAAGGATCTCAAGGCCTGATTATATGCACAGTGTATAAAAGGAACACTGATAGGTGTTCATAGAATACAGTAGTTTTAGCCTTCTGAGAAATCCCACAGTAAAAGAGCTCCCACAGCATCAAGGATGTCAGAATAGCCAAGCATGCTGGTGCATGCCTACGACCCCAACATTCTAGGAGACTGAGGCAGGTGGATCACAAGTTCGAGCCTAGCCTGTTTCAAGCAAGACTCTGTCTCACAAAATAAAAAGGACTGGGGATGTAGCTCAGTGTGAAGGCCCTGGGTTCAGTCTGCAGCAACATACACACAAAGAAAGGGTGCTTGGGGCTTTAGGGTAGGGTCACTGTACTTGTTCGGTGGATTTTAGGAAACAAACTAGTTTTGCATAATATTCTATGTCAGTCCCTCCAAATATTTCAGAGTAGATTATTGAATAGTTGTTTTTCAAAGAACTGGAAATCTTTGTGAGGATCATCATGGTTCATGAAGTCAATTATCCACTTTCTTTATTGATACAAATATCTGACTGATTGTGAAACAATGTCCCGGAAATAATCAGCATGTAATCAGGATATTTGTTTTATTTTAGCAAAGTGATAAACTTGGTAATCTCGGATGAGGGTAAACATAAGCTTCTAGGTATACCACATTTCAAGATCATTATCAGATGATATAAGCTTCAAATACGTAATTCTGAACCTGGGGGTACATATCAGTAGTAGAACACTTGCTTAACATGCATGAACCCCTAGTTTCAATTCTTGGCACCACACACATGCACACACAAGTAATTTATAAAATTCACACAGTGATGTGTATGCTTGAACTTTTCTCCTTAGTAATTGAGCTTTCTAAACATGGGGAGAATGACTCTTCTTAATATTTGTATTTTCTTAATTTCCCAGTTACAATTAATGGAAAATATTGCTGTCCAAAGATATATTTCAATCACCGTTGCTTCTCAGGGCCATATCTTAACAAAGGAAGAATTGCTGAACTCCCACAATGTGTAGGACCTGGGAACTGTGTTCTGGTCCTCAGAGAGGTAAGGTTCTGTCCTGCAGCAGAAGAACTTGGAAATTTGATCATAACAGACTCCTAGGATATGGGGAGCCACATGCCATATATGTGACAACTCTAGGCTTTATTAAGTTACTGATTTTTCATATGTAGTGGTCCCCTGTTATCTGTGAGGATTTGTTCTAAGACAGTGGTGAACCTATGGCATAGGTGCTATGGCTGGCTGGCTGTTTTCATTGAAAGGTCACTATCACTGTTCTAAGACCTTACAAAATGCCTGAAAATACATGTAGTGCCAAAGCTTATACTGGTATGTTTAAAATATATATATATATAATATATATATATATATATATATACATACACACACACACACCCATACATATACATATACACACACACATAACTATCGTAGTAGTCCATTTTTTGAGGCAGGCTACTTAGGAAGAAAACAGTTTATTTAGCTCATGTTTTGGAGACTGAAAGTCCAAGATTAGGTGGCCTGGTGGATTGAGCTTCCTGTCTGCATTGCATCATGACAGGAATGCAAGCGTGAGAAAGAAATCATATCACCAAATCAGGAGCCAGAGAGACGCTGGGATCCCAAATTCCTTCCAAGGGTTTGCCCCTAGCTGGCCTTAGGAACACCCCATAGGTTTCATCACCTCATCACCTCCCACATCTGTGCTGCAAGCAAGCTTCCAACACATGAACTTTTGGGGGAGACACTTAAACCATAGCTGCAATAAAATTTAATTTCTAAATGAGACACAGTAAGACATTAACAACAGCAGTAATAAAACAATTATAACAACATACTGTAATAAAAGTTGTGTGGATGTGTTCTGTCTCTGAAAATGTCTTAGGCTATATTCGCTCATCTCATTGTGATAGTGTGAGATGATGCAGTGCCTACTATTGAGATGAAGTGAGATGAGTGATGTAGGCATTGTGATGTCGCATTAGGCAGCTTCAGGGTTACTTGAACACAAGCATATACTTTTTAAGTAGTTGATCTGATAACTCGTACAGCCACAGACAAGCAGCTGAGTAGCATATACACTAGGGTTTCACTGGACAAAGGGGTGATTCATGACATGGGCAGGATGGTACAAGATTTCATCATGTTACTCTGAACAGTGTATAATTTAAAATTTATGACTCATTTATTTCTGGTATTATCCATTTAATATTTTTGACCATAAGTAACTAAAACTTAAAGTGAAATCACAGATTATGGGGTATTGCTGTACTGTTTAGTGAGTTGGGCAGGTAATTATTTCTCTTCCATAGGGAACACCTAGGTAAGCAGTTCTGCACAGAGAAGGTTCACTTCTGTTAGACACACATGAGAGCTATGCAAGAGTATACTGTGAGGCCCAGGTGTGGTAGTGTATACCTGTAATCCCAGCACTCAGGAGGCTGAGGCAGAAGGATCGCTGTGAGTTCGAGGCCAGCCTGGGCTACACAGTGAATTCAAGGATAACCTGCACTACAAAATGAGACTCTGTCTCAAAAAGAAAAAGGGAACTGTGAGATTAGTGTATGACTGAGAGGCTGCATGGTATTAACTGAGAGCCACGATAAAGCTATGAATCTGCTGGATTTTCATGCTCCCAACTCGTGTGCTGCACAATGAGTAAAAGATGTGAGGACTTGTAGAACCTTTCAACCCTCAGGGTGGCAAGGCAGGGCCTCACAAAGTCAGAGCTTTTGGGCCAGACTCCTTTACCCACAAGATTACTTAACCGTCTGCACAGTGTCCCAAACACGTATAATTTTCTGTGTGTACCGTGGTTGGGAAAGTATTTGGAAGCAAGTGGCAGAATAAATTGAAATTCAGGGTGCCTGTTTTTACTGACCATAACATTTTGAATGTGTAAGATGATCTGGCTATTCTTTATTTGGAACTATGGGTAAATGTCGTATTTTTGGTAATATTATTTTGTTATCATTTTTTAATAAGAATTAATTACCAAAATGGCCTTAGCACTCTATGGGATAGGGAGAATGCCATGGTTCTAATCATCTGCTTTTCTCCCCCACCCCATATTTCTGCTTTAAAACTGAGCTTAGGTCCTCACTTTACTTATCAATGCAGCCTATAAGCCTAGTCGTGTTCTTCGGGAGCTCCAGCTGGACAAAGACTCTGTGTGGCATGGTTGTGGGGAAGTTCTAAAAGCCAAGTGAGTAGATTCCTCTACCCTACTATTGTCTGTCTGTATTCGGTCACACAGTCATTTCTTCTGTGGATAATAGAATGCTTGTTTCCTATGGCATTGCTGCTTCAGCTACTGTGGCGAAGGACTTAGGCTTGTTTTCTCTTTTAGTTTCCATTCTGTCATGGGTTAATAAGTTTATGACATATGGTAAAAATGAATTATATGAAATTTAAAAGACAGAAATGCAAGAACATTTTCTTAGATTCAAAAGACATAAGACTACTTTTTCAAGTTCCTGTGGAAGTTTATAAACATATACTCTTGTTTTCTGGCTTGATTTTTTTTTTTTTTTTTTTTTTTTTGTAGATATTTTTTTTTTTATTGGTAGATGAATGGTAGCTGGCAGATCATACCATATCCTTAAGCCATACCAAGAGAATCACTGCCCTAGGGTAAAGAAGGACTTAATGAAAAGTTCCTATTCTTTTTATAATAAGAAGCAAAATTACTATTTGAAAACCTTCAGCTAAGAATAGAAAACTGGAACTTTATTTTGCTAATTTAAATAATAGCTTTTGGTTGTCATTGCTTACCAAATTTAAGTACAAGATACAGAACTTATTCTTTGAGTCAAAAAACTTATAAAGGAGGGGCTGGGGATTTAGCTCAGCGGTTTAGTGGCCTGCCTTGCAAGCGCAAGGACCCAAGTTCAATCCCTAGTAACAACAACAACAAAAAAAAAAAACAAGAAAAATCTTATAAAGGATGCATAGTATTCTAAAGCAAAAATACTTTTCAGATGTATCATCAGTATACTTGATTTTTCACTGGGTAGTCATTGGCCCAATAATTTTGGCATTTGATGTCTTCCAATGGCAGATATAAAGGAAAGAGTTATCGGGCTACTGTTGAAATAGTGAAAACAGCAGATCGGGTGACTGAATTCTGCCGGCAAACCTGTATCAAACTGGAATGCTGTCCTAACCTCTTTGGTCCACGGATGGTTCTGGATACGTGTTCTGAGAACTGCTCTGTACTTACAAAGACCAAATACAGTGAGTTATGTTTTTCAAGTGTGTTAACTATGTAAGTTTATCCCTAAATGTCCTGGAATTTTTTAAAAAATTTGCACACATTCATATATAGAAGTACACAAACTTTTTCTATAAAGGGTCAGAAAATAAAATTTTATGTTGCCAGTCATATGATCTGTCACACATTCTTTTTTATTTTGTTGTATTTTCATTTTTAAAAGAACTCTTTAAAAACTGTATGAACAATTTTTAGCTCTAGGACCGTACTAAAATAGGCCATGGGCCAGAATTGGCCTTTGGGTCCTAGTTTGCCAACTTTAATATGGCATGCATATAAATTAGCTAGTGCATCTGATAGATACTTCATTTATTCATACAATCTGCCTACTCTGTGCTGCCACTGTTCTAGCCCTGGAATACAACAATAAATACAATGAAAGTCCTTTCCTCACTGAGTTCTCATTTAATGTTGGACAGTGATAATAAACAAGTAAGCAAATGTAGAGACAAGTATGAGGCATGGGGAATGAAGTGGAAAAGAAAGCAAAAAAGAGAATGAGGAAGGCTGGGAACAGGTGGCCCGAAGAACTTCTGACTGGGGAACCACATGAAGGAAACAAGGTTGTGCCTGACTTGGTAAAGGGAACAACGAGGCCACAGATTTTTCTGGAGCTTGCTCAGTGTCTGTGAAGAGCAATAAAGAAGGCTTGGTGGTATAAACACCAAGAGGAAAGTGCAGTCTCCCTCTGAACTATCCTCCCTTCTGTTCATCTTCTCCTTTGTGAACCTGGGGCAGGAATCATATGGGTTGAAATTTACAATGTGGATTTTTATCAAAGCATTGTCACCCAAAACCAAAATTCTTATGCATTTCCTTAAGTACTGCAAACCCTGGCGTCACTTGGGAAAACTAACAGGGAAGGAGGATTTCACTATGTCACATTTGAAATAGTTATTTTAGGGATCTGTGACTCTTAAATTTTATAGTTCTTGCAGATAACCTGAGCGTCTTGTTTAAATGCACCTTCAGATTTATCAGATCTGTCAGTCTCTGGGACTGTGTATTTCCAACAAGTTCCTCAGTACAGCTGACGTTTGGTATGGCAAGCTTTCTAATCAGTATTTGAATAGCAAAATTCAAATTCATGGAAAAGTCTAACCTAGTAATTTGTTTGTATTTATTGAATTGTAGACTCCTTAAGGGCAGAGATTATTTTAGCTTATTATCAGCCCTTCATGTAGGAAATTACAATTATTAGGAGCTAACTAGAAAATGTGACACATGTAATAAAAATATATGAATAATATTACATATATAGAGACAAACATTTGGAAGATTTGTGGACTTTGTTATGGTTTTTTTTTGTCTGAATTTATCTTTCACAGTGATAAGTTAAAATTACCCTAGGTTTTAAAAGAATCTAAATTTTCCTAATTAGTAATTTAAGTGATCCCCAATGAATGTGTCCTTAGAAATTTATTTTTGCAGAAAATTACATTAGAATTTGATATTACCTTAATACATAACCCAGAACTAGAATATATTTCATGGTTGAATTTTCTGATATATTCTGAAACTTAAATGGAAATGCACAGGATCTAAAATACTTAACATACTGGAAAAGAAAAAGTTGAGGGACTAGGGATTTAGCTCAGCAATGCCATCACCTGACTCACAATCACAAGTCCAGAGTTCAATCCCTAGTACAAAAAAAAGAATAAAGTTGAAGGACTTTTTCTTTCGGCTCCTTGCTGCCTTTTTTTTAAACCATAAAGCTATAGTAATCATAAGCTTGGTATTAACATGTTCCCTACCACTGGTAGTACGTGTATGACTGTCCCATCAGGCAGCTTGTACAACCCGATGGAACAGTGCTATGCTGCCTGATGGGACAGTCACGCATATACCACACTGGTGGGTTTAGTGCTACACAGTAGCCAGACGTACAAATTACATCCCCATCATGAACATGTTAGAGTATTAGAAGTCTTGGGACAGAACAGAAGGCCTAGAAATAGGGCCAAATTATATGTGATCAAATGGTTTATAGGGTTAACAAAATTAATGGGGAAGGGAAATTCCTTTTAACAAATGGTATGGGTACGACTGAATTCCTAAATAGAAAAAGCAAAAACAGAACTATTTGGCTCATACCATATACAAAAATTAAATTTAAGATCTATTATAGACCTAATGTAAAAGCTAAAACTATAAAGCTTTTGGACAGAAACAAAATATCTTCAAGACCTTGGGGTAGGCAAAGATTTCTTAGAATGTAGAAATACACTAGCATAAAGGAAATAATTACTAAGTGAATTTCTTAGTTACTTTTCTCATTGCTGAAACAAAATACCCAACATCCAAAGTAGTTCAGCTCAAAGTTTGTAGAGCTTTCAACCCATAGTTGGCTGGCTCCAGGGCAGGATGGCATTGCAGAGGGGCATCACAGAGGAGAAACAGTTTATGATGGGCAGAGGGCAGCAAAGCATAAACAACAAGCATCAAAGTAGAGAGTGACCACAGCAGCCCTCTTTCTGTCCCTTATATTATTATATAGTCAGTGACAATCAGGTAGGAGACAGCAAAGTAGCAAACCAACAGCAGCAAGCAGAAGCAGCGATAGCAAGCCTGCCTTTCCCTTTTACCCATGCAGGCTACCAGCTTTTCATTCCTTCATCCAACCCCTTAATCCCAGCATCACACACTTAATCACCCTAATTGAGCCACCTTCAAAACTTCTATATATTATTAGCACATGAGGCTTTGGAGGGACATGTAGATACAAGCCATAACAGTGAAATATGAAAATTAAAAACTTCTGTTCTTTGAATAGTACCATTTTTTAAAAGAAAAATACAAGCCACAATATTAGAGAAATTATTCTTAATACATATATCCAGTAAAGAATTTATCTCTAGAATATATTAAGAACTCCCCCAAATGAATAACAAAGAAGAGCATTTTAAAATATGACAGAGGGGGCTGTGGATTTAGCTCAGTGGTTCTGGCGCCTGCCTCACAAGTGCAAGGACTGGAGTTCAATCCCTGGTACAAAA